ACGCTTGCCAGAAAGTACAGAGAGGTGGCAGAGAAGAAAAAGAACCAACCAAATCTAAGCTAGATTTAAATTATTTGTTTTCATTAGTTAATAAGACCCACTAAGAACTATAACACAATTAGGTAGAAATGATAAGAAAATCCATGCGGCTGTTTGTTTGAGTCACGAGAGGACTGGGGCCCATTCCATGACAGTGGCATGCCAATTGTATGTAATATAAATTCATTTAAACTGTTAACTTAGACAAAAGCCAATCAAAATCTAATGTGCAATTTAAACTCTTATTGAGTTTAGAGTAAAAAATCCCCCTTTCTGTGATTGTTGGGTTTTCTCTGTATGTATTATTGTAGGGTCTACCTTACAATGTAAAGCGACTGTTGAGGCAACTGTTGTTGTGATTTGGCGCTATATAAATAAACTTGAATTGAACTGAATTGTAAAATCCAATGAGGTCAGTGTTGGAAGAAGAAATGCTGTGGATCACAGGAAGTTCCACAGCAGGCCAGAAGTTACAGAAACTTAACTAAGGGAGGCTTAAGGGTCACCTGATCTAGCCCTAGCTAAACTCTGACATCTGAAGGCTTTGTCTCCCATTCTACTTTTGGAAACTCTAGGAAAAAACTAAGATTGCAATCTGAGAGCAAAGTGTTCAATTGATAAGATAGGTGCTAATATGACATCTAATATAATACTATGAGGTCTTAACAATATGATGGGACATGGTTATACAATGTTTTGTGGTGAGTAGAAGGATTTTAAGTTGAAATTTAGATTTTAGAGGAAGCCAATAAAGACAAGTCAAAATATGGGAGAAATATTATCTCCCCCTTCCCTGTCAGTGCTCTTGCTGCAGTGTTTTGGACAAACTGAAAGCTTTTAAGGGAACTTACAGAACAACCCAATAATAATGAATTATAAATGATTCCAAGAGTCCTCACAGTGCTGCTAGGGACGAGGGTAATGCCATCCAAGTCAGTATCTGGTTAGACACATTGTTTCTTCAAGGGCCAAGTACGAAAATTTCAGTTTTGTTTGAATTTAGAAGTAGGAAACTACAGGTCACCCAGGCCTGTATGTCTTTTAAACACGCCTGTAGTTTAACTGCTCTTTATCATCTGGCTTCACAGATAAATATACCTCTTTAAATAGCAATAAAAATTTAGGTTTTGTGTTTTTTTATAACGTTACTTAAGGGACGGATGTATGGACCAAAGGTTATTGGTCTCAAAACAGGGCCCCATGAAACTCAATGACACTGCTGAATCTCTGTTTGCCCTTCTGTAAACGTCACTGTACACCACTGTCATGTCTGTAAACATCAGCTTTCATTCTTCTGTCCGTCTGTCACAAATTACCCCGACACTCATCTTCACCCACGTCACCCTGCCTTCACTCTCTTCTTTCCTCCGTTAAACACTGTCTGTTGTTTGTGATGGTTGACCCAAGGTATGGAAACTCGTCCACCTTCAATACCTCAATTCTTTGCATCTTCTTTGCTACATATATTACCTCTCCAGACTCTTGTCCACCTGCTCCCTGCTCTCACTTATGTTGTTGCAAACAACATAGTCCACAGAGACTCCTGTCTGGCCTTATTTGTTAACCTGTCCATCACCAAATAAGAAGGGCCTAAGAGCTGACACCTGATGATCTCATGGCCACCTTGAACCCATCAATCACCCCTACCGCACACCTGCAGTACCGCAGTTCCTCTCTTGACAGTTTATTATAGGCTTTCTCTAGAAGACATAGTGATGCTTCTTCTGACCTTGTCTATACTTCCCCAGTATCACTCTCAAAGCAAACATAGACTCTGTCTCTGCATGAAACCATACTGCTACTTACTGACCATCACGTCTCCTCTTAACCTAGCTCCTGCAACTCTTCCCCATATCTTCAAGGCATGCCTCCTCAGATGTATCCCTCTGTGGTTACTGCACCCCTGCACATCACTGTCCTCTCTCCTACACATCTTCATACCTCCACAGGCAAGTTATTTAGGCCAGCCACCTTCCAATTGACTAACTTTCCCTCATTTTCTTCATTCATCAGCGCCTCAAAGCACTCCATCCATCTTCTCAGCACGCTCACTTTACTTGTTAGTACACTGACATTTCTGTCCTTAATAACCCTAACCTGCTGCAGGTCTATTTCAATCATTAGAATGACTGTAGCAATAAAATTAATGCAGAGTTAACTGAATCATTCATTTAACCAGAATAAATCCTCATCTGTATATCGTGGTTTAAATCATGACTCAAGTCATCACTATCACGTCATGCTTTCAAACAACATTGCAGTTTTCAGTCCACATCACTGACTACATGTGTGTAAAAGTCAGATAAAGGACTATAGTGAAACAATGGCTTTGGGGGAGGAGACAAAAGATCAGAAAGAGAGGAAGGGAAGGGTGCAGTCTTTGTATCACTCCTTCACTCCACCAGCTCCTGTAGTGCTGTGAACAGCTGGCCTACTTTACCCTTCTCCATTTTTTATGATACTCACAGACACTTATTGGCACATACACAGTGCACACACAGGCACAACATTTATGCCCTTTTAAACATGCAGATTCAGCAGTCAAATGTCAGCTGTGAAAACAGCATGACCAAATTATTAATAGACAATTATGTGGTTTGCATTATCAATATATTTAGACAGTGTACACTAGACTAGGTAGCTGGGGATCGGTCCGCCAGGGCCTCCGGTCCTGGCTGCCGCCTGGCACACAATGCACTCAACTCCTATGGCGCCTCCTGTGGGTGATGGGCCTGCAGGAAGATGTGCCCATGTCCCTTTTTCAGGCTGTGCCTGGCCGGGCCTCATGGACTAAGGCCCGGCCCTCAGGCACCCTCCCAGGCCTAGTTCCAGGGCAGGGCCCCGGTAACCCTATCCCAAGCAGGAGTCTTCTGAATTGCTCTTTGTCTGGTCCCTCAGCCAGGACCAATTTGCCATGGGAGACCCTACCAAGGGGCAAAAGCCCCCAGACAACATAGCCCGTTGGATCCCTGGGACACACAAACCCCTCCACTGCAATACGGTAGCAATTCAGTGATTTGATGATCAATTTTGTAATCGTATCACCAGACCTGCACCTCCATTGCCAAAGCCACTTCACTGAGCTGCGATCGCAAGGTGATGAAGGGAGCCACCAGGCTAAAGGAGGAGTCTTATCGGGCTTGGTTAGCCTGTGTTGTCTTGGTCGACACGTCTCTACAATGTTGCGTGGAGATCAGGGGCGGTACCTCTGGATTGGCAGACTGGGCTGGTGGTTCCCATTTTTAAGAAGGGGGACCAGAGGGTGTGTTCCAGCTATAACACTCCACAGCCTCCCTGGGAAAGTCTATGCCAGGGTGCTGGAGAAGAGGGTCCGTCCATTAGTCGAACCTCGGATACAGGAAGAACAATGTGGTTTTCATCCTGGTCGTGGAACACTGGACCAGCTCTTTATCCTTCTATACCTGAGGGTGCATGGGAGTTTGCCAAACCAGTCTACATGTGTTTTGTGGACTTGGAGAAGGCATTCGACCGTGTCTCTCAGCGTGTGCTGCAGCAGGTGCTTCGGGAGTATGGGGTGTGTGGCCCGATCCTTATACAACCGTAATAAGGCCTTGGTCCGCATAGCTGGCAATAGGAGTGTTTCAGGTTAGGCTATTGTTGACTACTACTGACTATTGTTGAAGAGTTCCCTTAAATTTTGAGTCAACATCTAAACAGTTTCACTAGCTGCCATATGAAAAATGCTAATCCTACTGCTAGTAGTGACCACAGATTTGTAGTGGCCTAAAATTAACTGCAAAACACTTGCAGCTAGCATAGGATTTTAATTTATCTATATACCTGTGCAGCTGGTTGGGGGCTATTGGAGAAAGGCATTTAAAGTCATCACAGAGCGGTGCCAGTGGCCTCACATGGTGACCTGCCAGGCAAACTGCTTGTTGCCACAGGCAGTGTAACAACTGAGCCTTTGCTATGGCAACAGTCTCCTCCAACAAAAGGGCAAAGACCTGTGGCGCTTTCAGCTGGTGCAGGATTTAGAGAGTGTACAAACGGATACACATGGCTCGATGCACTCAGTTTTCAGCAGTGATGAATACACACAAAACTGTTGAAACACAGCAAATATTTTTTTTATTACTTTTTTATGTTACTGCATGGTTTGGATTACTTGCTATGAGAAAGTTGTGACCTTAAGTCTGACCTTAATTTCAACACCAAACTCTTTTTTGGCCAACTGTGATTATTTCTGAAGCCCTAAAATACTTGGTATCCAAGACACGGTGAGTCATGAGTTTGTGAACTCAGCTGAAAATGTGCTAAACATGGATAGCACTAATAAGAAACTGTAGCAACCAAGAACGACAACTTATTAGTGGCACTACACTGCAGCATATGAATAAGGAAAAAACCTCATCCACTGCAGCTTACTGCACTTAACAAGTAGACATCCCCCCCCCCCAGCATATCATCTGAGTGTCCACATGAATTTATGTAACAATGTAGTTAAGAAATATGGACAAAGCAACAGAAAAAAAAAACACTGCAGTGCATTGAAGCGTTCCTGTTCCTGAATAACGAGTTTGTTTTGAAAACAAAGGAATACAAAGTGTAGATACTTGTGTCAAAATTTAGGGAGTAAAAGTAAAAAGTAAATACTCAAGTAAAAATACCTGAAAATTCTACTTAAGTATTTTTACTTGTATTTGTTACTTTGTACTTCGTCTCTAACTTTGTCTTACTCATTTCATATTTAAGTAAACCACTGCAGTCTTCTACATTTGACTTATGAGAAAGACTTTTGTCAGATAACTGCATCTGTGTGTAATTTATACTCATGTCTGGCAAATACCTAAATAAGACCGCTTTGTGTGTAATTGGATCTTTAAAACACGTGTGTAAGCATGTAAGGATGTGTTAAGGAAGGTGATGCTTCTCATTGTTGAGGCCAATTAAAGGAGAACCAAATCATGTGTTGTTTCAAGCATCTACTCACTCAAGTCTGACATTTAAAGAACAAAATACATTTTTTATTGTTTTTGAAGTATTTTTTGTTCATACAACAACTGGGCAGGCTTGTGTGAACAGCAGGACAGATCATCGCTATCACTGTCTCATCCATCCTGGAGATGATCAAACAGCACTACGTCCACAGCGTTTCCAGCATCATGTAGGACACCTTCAGTGGTTCCCGCTGAGTTTTTTCCACTCTTACCATCAGGGAGGAGATATAAAAGCTGCCCCCAAACAAAAACTTTTATGTTTCTCATGGCTAGGTGCTTGATTTTATACTTGCAAAAAAAGAAAAAGAGGATTCAATCAAACAATACAATTCTTCAGAAAAAAGGGCTTGTATTAGAAAAAAAAACCCCAAAATAAAAAATATAAAAGTTCACACAACTTGTAAAAATTGTTTAACAAACACACATGCTTGGATCAACCATTCAAAAATAAGCACTGAATTAACATTAACAATCTGTAGCATTTCAGTGGAGCTACAAAGAAGCAGCTTCTTGCCTTTTCAATTCAGTTTGCTTGCTACTCAGCTTTGATGCTAATGGTTTGGGTTTGTTTTGTACTTTTGTTATTTGCTTTCATTCTTTGTGCCAGAAACAAAGATTATAATAACAGTGACTTCAGTTTTTCCAGTTCATTAAAAATAAAAAATAAAAAAATCAGCCAGAGCAAAATCAATATGCAAACAGATCTATCATTTCTCCCCGTTTAAGAAAAAAGAAAACTACCTTAAATGACCGTAAACGCAAAAACAAAATTAAATTTAAGGAAACTGATCTACAATTCATGTAAATCTAGAAAGATTATAATCCTCTACAAAGATCTACAACACAGCTCATGTAAATTCACCTCCTCGTGCACTGGAAAAAGCTTTCTGATTAGGCCAACAGTTCAATAACTCTCTGCAGTAATGTGGCTTTTTTGTTGGCTTTGCAATATACATCTCAAGACTTTCCAGACTGCTCACATTTAGGTCCTGCCTGTTAAGGGTGGTTTAAAGCTCACATGTCACATCCACTATCGCGCACTGGTGTTGCTTCGGCCGGTTGTGCAAATCTAGATTTTTGTAACATGTAACACTGCGTTGTGCTGCTGTGGCTGCCGCTGGGTTACAGACATCAGTGTATGATTGTACGATCGTGTCAGAATTCAGCTTATAGTGAGCGTGATGTTGCAACAGTTTGAAAACATAAGACTTTGTGGGAAAAAGAAAACAATCTCTGTAGTGTCTCAGAGTCTGGTTGACGTCAGATGACAGTGTTGTCTGAATGTCAGTGTCTATCATTCAGCTTCATTTGGCAACCTGTGGCTTAACCGCGGTCTTTACTCCCCTTCCCAAACACAATCACATTCTTGAAAAAGGTTTCTTTGTCGCATTGTGGTGATGATGTTGATCCTGTTCTCGGACAGCTCCTGCAGCTCTCTGATCAGCTCCTGCAAAGACGGACTCGGCCAGGGGTGGTCGTTGCGGTCACTTTTGAGAATGTACGAGCGCTCCACGATCAGCTCCAGCTGCTCGAGGTGTTTGAGATTGCTGAGGAGCAGGAGGTCACTTTTTGGTTCCTCAAGGAAATATCTATAGAAAAAGGGCAAAAAATATATGTTTTAGACTCCTGATAGGAAGATCTGGTGCTGGGGCAACTGGAAACCCACAAAGAAAAAATAAACATTTGATGACTCTTTCCAGCAGATTAATGTTTGGGTTGTATTTAAGAAAATGCTGCAACATAGTTTAAAGTTCTAGTGCCTTTGTTAAATAAATGAAGCAAGTTTAAGCCACCAACATTTTTTTTTTTTAAATTGTCAGTCAGTACTGCATGAAGGTAATCGATTAAATGTAATCTGTAATAATTTCACTGAGCAATGTTATCCATCTACAATAACAATAAATAATAAATAGAAAATAAAAATCTGCCATCTCACCGTATCCTGAGAGTCTTGAGCTGAGGAAATAGTGAGGGAAGCTTTTTGCAGAGACTGCCGGAGAAGCGGTTCTGATGCATGTCGAGGTGCTCAAGTTTCTTGACTTTCTTCACGATGTAGCATAAATCCCTGAGTGATATGATCACTCTCAGCACCAGCCTGGTCACACGGGGTGGAAAAACGGTTGTATAGAAAGCAAGAGGATTCCCACCTAGACAGACAGAAATCAGAAGAGTTACAGGAGGCAGTTTTGGCCTAAAGCTTGATCTTTTTCTTTTTTTTTTTTTCTTTTTTTTTTTAAATTTGCTTCTTACTTTTACAAACAGGAAGAAGGAACAGGCAACACATGGGACAAACAAAGTTTTCATCCCCCGTTTTCTGATGGAGAAAATTTGTCCTACTAACTAAGGATGTATACAGCATCAGAGTATTCACTAAAATGCTGGCAGGCAACCTTTACACAAATACTAATACCTGCTTTTTAAAAATAAAATAATGAGTACTATTTGTAGTGCTGCTAGGACTTATGTGGCTAGTCTGTGCTACTGCTTTATTTTGTATATCAGGTCAAATTTGCGAAACTAAACTAAAAAAAACAAAAACACATTGAACAATGGTTACACTCACCAATGATTTCCAGTGACTCTAGCTGATACAGATAACTCAGCCAGGACTCTAGACGACATTTGACGCCAATTTTTAGGTACCTATAGCGAACAGTCAGTGACTTCAGTGAGGTCAGTCCCCTCAGCGCGTTCTCAGACAGCATGGTTTCTGGGTAATTCACCAACTCCAGAGAAGTCAGTGCTGGGCCACCGTACGCTTCTATAGGACCAAATAATGGGAGCAAGTTAGTCAAACGTTTGCTAATAATTTGGCACAGTGGCTGATCTAACTGTCCCACCACTACAGGCTTAGGTAGTAAGTAAAACTGAATGGTGACTGATCAGTAAAAGGACATCTTTAGTTAAGTTTATTAAGACCCTCATTAGTTGCAGCATCATAGCAGTTATTCTTCCTCGTGTCACATGTGATCCAGCAACTCTTAGCAAGTTGACTCCTTTAGGAAAAAACTATGATAAACAGTATCATTCACTCTGTACTCAGTAATGTCTTTGATGCTGCAAGTTAGATACATTGCTAATAAATGTATGAAATTACTGAAAGCCGTCTGATTTTTTGACCCGCTGAGTCACAAAATACATTTGATCCAGTTACACAGCAGCTGTAAATGTTGTTTGGGGAGCAATTTAGCAGGTAAACCCACATGTAAAGTGTGATTTTAATATTTCAGGTGAAAAAAAATGTATACTGGTTCTAATGCAGGGTTATAAAATGCTGTAAAGACACTAGACTTACCTGGGTCTTCTGGGTCTGGGGGATAAAAATAGTCGTCGGGCAGTGGCACTGGGTTCTCTGTAATCTCCCAGGATAGGTGTTTCAGCTTCTTTAGGTTCAATAGCAAGTTATGGAAGGCCTTAGATGGCACTGGTGCCACCACCTGCAGCTTTGCTTCAGCCTGCTGGTGAAACAGCAAATATTCCAGATTGTACAAGCGTGACACGCTGTTTACGAACTCAGCAGTGCTTGGCAGCTGGATGTTACACACACTCAGGTGAGTCAGCCGCTCTGCTAGCTGCCCAGTCTGGCACTGCTGTAGCATTGGCTCGCTCCATGTGGCGTTTCGTATCCCGAGAGTCTTCAGGTTGGGGAAATCAGGCAGGTTGTCCACATTTTTCTTCTTGTAATGCTGCTGTGCCTCCGTGCAGACAATAGTGGTGAGCCGTGGAAGGGACTTCACAAGGTGTTTCCAGTCTTTGGGCCTCAAACGTCGCACTGCAACATGGGTCACCCTGCGATACTTTAGTGTGTCCCAGAATCCAGCTGTGTAGCGTGGAAAGTTGGATAGGACCACCATGTGGTTCCGCCATAGGCATGGGTGGTCAATCAGCTTTTTGAGGACTTTGCAGCAGCAGCGTACCCTGTGCTTTTCCTGTGTGCTCAGGTAGCTGAACACCATGACCCAAACTTCGGGTGGCAGATGTGATAGCCACTTGACCCTCATGTTAACTTGTTGGAAGCCTCAGCTCCAGGCCTGTTTAACGCTCCTTTGGCCTAACTCCTTGCCTTCAAGTTTTCGAAGGCAGGCTGCACCTGAAAAGTTAACAACAATAACACTTTTACCATCCAGACTAAAATAATACAATGAAGATACACAGAACTCGCTTAAGCCATCTCTCAAATAAGTTTATTTTTGGCCAGTTACTCAAGAAAGTCTCTTGATGCATGCTCAGCCGGATAAGGTCTGTTCAGTGGAGAAATGTTTCTCCCACTGAACAGAATCAACTTTTTGGTATTTCCTTACCTGGCTGTAGACGAAGGACTACAGTCTTTAATCTACTTTAAAGACAAATATGACTGCAAATTCAAACATCATGGGCTAAATCACTGTAAACAAAGCAGTATTGTATTAATCCAAGTTATAGTCATAGCCATTGTTTGGTAATTGGTGTCTAAACTATTTATACAGAAGTTGAAAGTTGTGCTGTGAAGAATGAAATTATATTACTCCAAGAAAGCTATCCAGCATTTTTGTCAAAATGATTGCAAACACCTTTACCTTAGGGCAGATGTGGTAAAAGCATGCTGAAAATAATTATGTGGTAAAATTAACATCCATTCAAATACAATGCTTTCGCCAAATGTCCCTCCAGTTTACAAATAAATGTATATTTAACACATCTCTTTAGTGGATATATATAGTTCAAAAATAATTGTGATTTCTTACCTGGTAGAAACTCCTGGGAAAAATAAATTTGGTCTTATGCCTTCAATAAACACATCCCCATGATCCTTAAGCCCAGAGGCAGAAGCTTTTCCAGCCTGCACGCTCAGAGTCAAATGACAATGAGTGAGTATCTCTGGTCTGTGACTCTTAAAAAGCTTGCTGGTACTTGATTAACATACGACTCCATGATGTAATAATACCTGCACACCCTGTTTATCTACAGGTTACTATCTACATGTGACCTTAGTAATCAGCCTTTTGTATTGTCCCCGAGTCTTGATTTTGTCACTAATCCTTTGTGTAGCGACAGACTCCTTGATCACCCAGATTTAAACCACACCTCAGTGATTGATTGCTGTCCTCTCCCTTCCTCCTCTGCAACATCATAAAAGTAAGGCTTTGGGAGTAGTCCAGGGTTGCTGTGTCTGAAAGCCCACCGTAAGCTTCAACAGTTCACACCTACCTACACCCTTATTCATGCATTCCAAAGCACTCACCTCTTGGCTGGGGGTGTCAACGAGTATGACCTCAACAACAACTCTTGATGGCTGAAGCCCCACAAAAGATGTAATGTCTGAATACCTAAACCCGTCAGCCATTTTCTTACAGACAAAACAGCCAGAAATTTTTCTAGGCAATGAAAGACAGACGTTCATTTGAGAACACAAATGCTCATTACAGTCAGATCAGAAAAGAGTGATTAATCTGCCAGCTCCTGAAAAAAGTCTGTCCAAGGATGTCCAGCAGTGGTAATGGGTCTGAGACAACCTCTGACATGACCTGATTACTCAAACATTATTGGCAGTTCTTGTGTGAAAGAACTGTTAAAATAAAATACCTTGAAGGATGTAAACAACTACAAAAAGACATGACTGGACTACAACAAGATACAAAATGTGTCCAGTTCTCTCTGTGATCACATTTGCAGTGATGTGTATAAGCGTTGGCAAACAAATGTTGCTCGTCTATGCAGCACATCTTGAGCACTCCACTGATTATGAAGTGGAGAAAGAAAGTTTATTTACAGTCCATGTAAAGTACTCAGCCTGTACTCTATTACTTACGTATTAGGAGGCAAAATCTTAACATCTAACAGAACTTTATAACACTCAAAAGTCAGAAGCCAAAAAGCTGAGACTATTTAGTCCTATCATATCCATCCATTTTGTTCAGTCTGTAGATGGTTTCTGCAAGCTGATAATTATAGTGCATGTCAGCTCAAACAACATTTCTTATTCTGCAGTTTGTGTATAAATATATTTCATGTCTTCAGAGGAACCCAAGTGATGATGACTTTAACGCTCATTCAGTGTGTTACCTTCCATAATAACACAAAGAGGTCTAACAGAATAAACAACCATGTTTTCCTACTGAAACTGATCCAAAGCATGTAAGTAACGATTGCTGATACTTTGAAACAAAGGTAGTGAGAGAGAAATGATCACTTATTTATCTACAGTTTACAGTCTTTTCATCTCATGGCCGGGTGGGTCAACGACTCTCATAAAAGCCCAACAACTCTCGATAGCTCGAGTCCCCAGAAGGCGGTTAATGGCTGGGTATCTATAGCAGCCAGTTGTTTTCACACATGCAAAGAAACCACCAGCTTTTCTAGACATTAAAAGACAGATGTGCTTATTAGAATAAAAAAGTTAATCAAAGTCAGACCAGAAAACTGTGTTTGATCTGCCGGCTCCCTACAATAAAGTCTGTCCAAATATGTCCAGTGGTGAGAATGAGGCACAGCTTCGAACATAAAATGACTGAACCATCATTTCCAAGAGTTCTGGTAGAAGTGTAAACACATTCACACTTTTCCCCCACTATTTCATTTTGCTATTCATCTCTGTGGTTTTGCTACAGCATGAACACTGTATTCAGAAAGAATTTGCATCCATAATTCTTGCTAAACTATTGTATGTAAAAAAAAAAAATAATAATTTACACTGAGTTGTACCAAAAGTTATGGCTCATCATTTTAGCTAATTGCTCATCAAACTGAAAATAGTCTAAAAAATAAATTACACTGGTAAACTGCAGATACAGATAAGAGACATCTTACAATTCTTTATCATAGAAGTTGTAACATCACAAATTGCGGTGTAATCGCACCTAAAACATGAGACTGTAACAGATCAGCCTAAATAAAGTAAAATAATTAAATAACTGGAAATTTGTTTGCGGTTTAGCTCATTCTTTCCTGAATTTAAACATTAGCAGAGTTAAATGCATGCAAGCTCCAGGCTTTCTACTGTTACAAGTAAACATGCTATCAGTTATTCATCATCAGTTTATAATATTAAACTGTTATCAGACTTACAGTGTAGATGCTTCGTTGAGAGGTCTTGACCGTTATTTCTTGATCAGCTGATCAAAGTGCTTTCTTGGCAGTTATGAGGGAAATGATCGGTCAACTCCTGGGAGGGACAAGGAAAGAGATTTAGTTCAATTGTATTTATGTAGTGCCAAATCACAACATCAGTTGCCTCTATGCTATGATAAAAGGCGAAGACCCTACAATAATACTGAGAAAAGTCCAACAATCAGATGAGCAAGCACTTTGGTGACAGTGAGAAGGAAACATTCATTTAAACAGGAAGAAATCTCCTAAAGAACCAGGCTCAGGGAGTGGGGGCCATCTGCAGCCACTGGGTTAGGGAAGCTGATTGTTTTTAAATTTCATACTTTTCTTTCTTTTCTTTTTTAGCAATGCTATGCCAATGCTAATGATATATGTAAATAATGAATATTAATGGCCAGGCGACGGGCGAGCCGTAAACACAGCAATATCAAACATAGTCATTGCAAGCAGAAAGAAAAAACAAAAGAAAAAAGGGCAACTAATTTGGTATATGTAATCCCAGATCAAGTAGAGGAAAAGCGTTGGATCACAGTCAGTACTTTGTTGCAGCGCCTCCGACTTTCATAAAAAGCCAACCTGAAATCTTTAATTGGAATGTCTCATGACTAATCATTGAATCTTCCTGCTCCTTTTTGAACATGAACGTTATTTGGAGTTGTGGTTGCTCGTTTTCCTTGTGTTTTTCTTTGTTCATTTGTCTCTTTTAATTCTATTTTGTTGTACTTTTTCAATATGTTCAAAATAAAGATTCAATCAATGTCACTTTAATCCACAGTTGCTTTGGACTGTAAGTCTATGTCCTTGTGTTTAGGTGTTACTGCTGGTCATTTCTTATCCGTGTATTTCAGCCAACCAATTTCATATAATTCTGTCACAAACACTCTCCTTTCTGCCCATGTTTTATTTTTAAAAGCATGCCAATTTGAATTTTCTGCCTACCTTTTGGCTTTTTGTTTCTCCCTTCTATACAGTTATCTGCTCCACCTTAATGTGTCTAACCTGCATCTGTATTTAAGGTTTGTTTTACGTACCTTAGTTTCCTTCCAGATGTGTTCGCAGTGTTCTTTTAGTACTCCTCCCATGACAGTCTTCTAGTGTTTTTGCCTCTGCTTGCTTCATATTTCTCTGTTTGCTTCATATTTCTCTGTTTGTGTGGTTGCATTGATTACCTTTGTCCCAACTCCTTTTTTATCACAAAGAATTTGAACCTTAATCTCATCAATGGAGTTGCACATTTGGGTCTTATCAGTTGTTACACTGCTGAAAGGTCCTCTAGTGTTTTGCAAGGAGCACTAAACAGACACTTTAGAAATGTCTACCATTGCATTTTGGGGTAGCCTGTTTGTTAAGGGTCACTAGTCAGGCAGGACTCAAACAGTTCAGTGCGTTTATTTACAGTAAATAACAGTTTTAACAGGAGATCAACCCCAGCAAAAGTCCTGGGCTTCCACACAACAGGGTTATTCCACAAATCCACATGGATCCAAAGATTCTCTCCCAAGAACACAAAACAGCTCACCGCTCTCCCGCAAAGGTCCCTCGTAGACAAGGAAACAGCAGGTAAGCTGCTTTTTTTTTTTTTTGTCCCCACTTACAGGCAAACCGCACAATCCCAGTGGTGAAGGAGCCAGACTTCACTAACTGGTTAAAACTCAACAATCCAACAAAGCCTGCAGCGCTGCCACTACCTTAAGTGGTAGCACAAACAAGGACATCGGGAACAGGTGTGTGACTCCTCCAGGTGTGTAAGCCAGAGGGCGGGAACCAGAAGAAAGTCCCACTTCTGAACCAAAACCAACCCATGCACTCACACACTCGATAAAGGAGAGACATTAAAAACTGCACATAAACTATGTTGAATCAAAGAGAGCAACAATGCTAGCTCTCTTTGAGCACAATATGCAGACTTTAGCTCAAGGATGGGGAACTCCAGGCCTCGAGGGCCGGTGTCCTGCAGGTTTTAGATCTCACCCTGGGTCAACACATCTGAATCAAATGATTAGTTCATTACCAGGTCTCTGGAGAACGTCAAGACATGTTGAGGAGGTAATTTAGTCATTTAAATCAGCTGTGTTGGATCAATGACACATCTGAAACCTGCAGGACACCGGCCCTTGAGGTTTAGAGTTGGACACCACAGAGCAAAAAAAGCAGAACCAAAAACAGCTTGTTGTGGAGTCACTGGGGCACCCGTCAGCCTCCCGTTAAAGACCACAGACAAACCCACAATGTGGATAAACAAACAACCAGTAAATGCTGCTGGCCTCTCAGCTTGAAAAGCTCAGCATTTTGTTACCAGGATGCGGACACGCTGGTGAACATGACAGAAGCTGTAGATTCTAATGGCTTCTCTCAGAAGATGAGGCTACAAAATGGCAGTAATTTACAGGATGGATGCCAACAGGAGATATTTTATGGGACCAAACCTCTCGCCTAATGCTGTCTGAGCTGTAAGAAGAGAGATCACTTTCTCTTTGATAGAGTTGAATAGTTTTTTTTTGTAAGAGTTCACTAGACTAGCACTGCTTCCTTGCCTGCCCTAACTGAATGCCACTGATGTGTTTTCATGCACGCCGCACATTAAATACAATAAACACACATTTTCCCCCAAATGTTTCATAATTAACATTTGTGCTTTCCCCCAGCCTCCCACATCTGGACTCAATCTGCCACTACAGATGAGCTTTACACTTCGCAGCTCAGAGATTCTCTCTGTTTCTCTCTGGATTTTATCTGTCAATCCCCATATTCCCTCTCCGCAGCAGCTCTCACCTCTCACAGATGAGGAGTAACCTCATCTTTTGCTTCACAAAGAAATATCCGGACCACGACTCGATGCATCACTATAGCCGGTCCTCAGAGGGTGAATTTACTTTTGCCAGAAGCAATTTTTCTGGCCCTGACCTGAGGGCATCTACCTGCAGGATCACATTTAGGACACGATTCAGAGTGGTAACAGAGTCATCTGTGAATGAGACAAGTCATCAGTCGGGTTTAATAAAACTAATGAAATGAGAATCTGAAGTGCTGAATGAACAAACTGTGTTGTGTCGAGGATTTTTTGGCAGTGCACACAGAGAGGGTGAGTGTGCAAAACATTTTTGGCTGTAACGCTGCATCTACTGCCACACGTGAGGTCATTTTTGAAAGAGCTTGCCAACAAAATCGGTGCAAAAATCATTTTTCTCTGCAGAGTTGCAATGGGATCGCAACAAGAATATTACTATAAGTAACACAACATTAAGTTGAATACATTAGGAAAGGTGAAGCAAAAGTGTCACCCCCAGAAACAGCCTTACTGATGGGATGTTTACACAACACTTAAAGTTACTGTGCAGTGTGAATGAACTGCAAATGTGATGCTTTTTCCCAAGTCAAAGCAAAAAAAGTGAAAAACCAGTACAATCCCTTCCCTTGTTTCTGTTTGAGAAATGTGTGATCTACCAAATTTTATCACCTTAGCTGAAAATATTGGTGTCACTCCCATTTCTTCTGTCCTTTACTTAACAAACCAAGCAGAAATAAATGAGGCATAAGCCACCTTTTCAACTGCTGCTACTAATTCCTAATAGCTTTTCCATTTTAAAGGTGTATTTATTTAAAAAGGGTTAAAATGGGTTTTCAGCAAGGCTGTTTTTGAAGAAGTGAAGAACTCTTCTGAGTCCTCCCAGTTTCACTTTAGTCAGAACACCAGTCAAGCAGAGATTGACACTGCTAATTTTCAAAGGTCATAACTGGGCCAGGGATGGCTTCTCTTAGCCTCATCCTCAACCTTCCCCTCTGCTTGTACATTCAGGGCACACGACTGGCATTTACTCTGCAGAGAGAGAACATATTAACACACATGTTCCTGACCACATGACCTCTGGGAAGACGTAAGTGTGGCTTTTAGCATGTGGACCTGTGAGAAAAAGTGCATTAAGGGTATACAACACTAATATCTCCATTATCACCACTGAACTGCATACTTCAACTCAGCATTTCACTGCAACTATAACATTTTTTATCTTATAATACTAGGAATACCGTATTAGAATACCGTAAGTAGTATTAACCTTCACTGTCAGCTATTTAGCAGCAATTGTTGCTGTTTTTGTAACTGTGAATTTTACAAGTTTGCTCTTTTGTCTTTTTAAAGTTCTATTTATGACTCAGAAAAATGGAGGTGTTACCGGCTGGAGCGACGAGCATAAACAGATTATAAGAAAGAGGATATTGTAAAATATAGCTGACAAAACACATTTTTGTTGCAGCCAAATCTCTAAGAAACAATCCTGAACTGTCTAATACTTGTATGTCCATCAGATGATGTTCACAAGGCCAAAAAGTGGCTTTAAAATGGTGAATAAAGTTAAAAACACCATTAATGACTCCATTACTCAACAGATCAGAATTTGTTAAATACGTTTCAACATATTCAAATTCTACAAAACCTGAAAGATTACTTTTATTTAATCATAGTCATGTGTGGCAAGCAAACAGGAAGTCAGCCAGATTCTGAATAAGTACTCAACAAACTCATGGCAATCATACAACTCTATGCGCTAACCTCATTTATATTGATAAATAAGGAGGAGAAAGCTAAGAGTAAGATGAGCACGCAAAAATATATTTGTAAAGTCAGCACTATTTTCTCAGACTGCATACTAAAAGGTCTTGTCACTAAAAGGCCAATGTTTGAGCTCATGTGTCAAGTTAAAAGGCCCTTGTGTAAAACCCTCAACCACTTCTTTCCATCTCGTTGTCAGGCATTTTTGGTATGCATCAGCAATATGCAAATTGGTCCGTTTTTGTATCCTCGTTGGCAGGCAGCCGGCCTGTTTTAGGCTGGTTTCTGATGTGGAAACCAGTCAAGGACAGCAGGTTTTAGAGTAAGACTTTGTACTGGATGGCTGCCAATTTTAAATCAAAGGGAAATTAATCATGACTATTAACTCTAAATAGAGCTTCAGTTTAATATTCCATTGTGCTGTTATATAATATATCACGTATATGCTGATAAAATGTTCACGTGCACTTTTTATTAGTTTGCTGAACTAACCAAGCATGTTGATGCTCCAGGCTAAATATTTAGTATGCTAAATCTAGCTCAAAGTTAGCCACCCTGCTGACGTGTCCTTCCAAGATGCCATGCAGAAGGCAAAACATCCAGACTTTAATGCTCTTGCAGTTTAAGTACTTAGCAGGTGTGTTCCTGGGAAGTCTTTGAGTAATGACTGCTATCCAACCTGCAATTAATCAAGGGGCCTCAAGTGAAATTTCCGCAGACCACCTTAGGGTCTACTTAGAGTGCAGACATACTTTTCATCAGATTTTTAACCACTGCCTGCAGCAACATCATAAAATAATGCCTGTATTTGTCTTAAAAACAATAAAAGAAGGCTGTTTTGTGGTTTCATGGTGGCAAGAAATTCAGAGAAAGGTTTGGCTCATGTAAAGTGAAAACAATGAATTCTGACTACTGGCTATAAGTTGTATCTAAAAATACTATTAAGAACTATTCACAATCACATCCCTTTGACAAAAGCCAGTCAGGGTTATTGCGATGCAGGTTAGCAATATGGCAGTTAGATTGTCATCCTCCAGGCCAAACCTTACCAAACAAAAAAAAGTTCCGCTGTTTGCTTGTATTTTCACCCTCTCTCTAGTATAATTTTCTCTCATAGCAACCATCTGGATGTCTTCCATCAATACATCCATGGGACACAATACCTCTCCCTTTTTTCTGTCCATAATTAAAAGCCAGCTTCCACCTTTTACCATTCATAGTCCTTTTATTTAAAGTCCCTACGTTACTGTCTTTCCTCCTCTCTGGCTGCCCCCCAAAACAAGAAATAGCACCAGAAATTGGCCCTGTTGGTAAACACCATTAGAAGGCGGTCCTTGACAACCTTGGTCAATCCAGAATAGAAATCTTATTGATTGATTTGGCAAAGATTTGACACTGGATGCCCTTGATGATGCAACCCTCTTCTACTATGCGGGGCTCAGGACAAGCACAAAGAGTACTGCACCCCTTGCCCTCCTGGCTGGGTTACGTCTCAGAGGCAATATTGCTACACTTAAAAAATCTCATGTAAAAAACTCTTCTGCAACATAACTGCTGTGATGGCACCCTTAGATTTATGGACTTCACATTTTGAAAAATTTATTTAACTTTGAGTCAATCAGTTTTGGGCGTTCGAGCCATACGTGGTCAAAGCTTCTGCCAGCGTGTTTAAAAATACAGTCCTCCAGGACGGTCTGTACCTCACATCAACCATATTATTTATTTGATAATTCCATTAAAAATTCTCCAGAACCACTTCAGCAAGCACAGTCCCACCTGCCACTCAAAGGGGTAATACTAGTGTACGGTTGTTTTTTTTTTAAAAAGTAAAGTCTAGTTATTAAAAACAGTTGTTTTGAAGATGAAAATTAGCTATAGAGACAACAATCAGATGGCCATTAGAACTAAAGTTTTTCACACCAACACACTGACTTCATCCCCAGAGGTTGCTCACAGTGCTTGATGAGAGATGCTCCATTGCCCTCTCATCAAACTTCCCATCCCCCCCTTTCCCAGTCCGACTCAGGGACTAATCACCCTCTGGCCCCTCAAACCTCTCAATAACATACACATGGTCAATCTGCTGTATGCAGAAATCCCCCCTCTCGCCAGATTACAGTGCCGGCCGGGCGGGATTAGTTTTCCTCTTCGTTTGTTCATACACAGATGCTACAAGCAGAGAGCTAAGCAGCTAAGGCAGCAAAACAAGCACACCAATGATATCTTCAACCCAGTTATCATGGATCCCTCCAAGACCTGAAAAAATGCTCAGTTTGTTGCTTTGTTATTTCACTTAACTATAATAGCCTAAAATATAACTTTTGCAGCCCAAATCATATAGCAGTAACTTTGTGGACAGTACTTTACCTCTGTGTTAACTTGATTCATTTTTCTTTTCCTATACTACAATTATTCTCTGAAGCTGTCTAAACAATACATAAAATACTTAAGGAAATTTTATTTGTGCGCCACACAAATGCAAATGTTTTAGCTTTGTTATGAAAAATGTATCTTCGGAAATTAAAAATGTAAGAAATGTGCCAAAGGAAATGAAAAAGCTCAAATTATTTGATTATAATAATAATAATAATAATAATAATAATAATAATAATAATAATGTGACAGCACTATGTGTCTATCATAACCATTGTTGAAGAAGTAATGGCATTACAAATTAATCATACTGGTAAGGAGCATGAAAGAATGGTTTATTGTGATTTAATTCAACTTTTTTCATTGACAACCACATATGCATGTTCTGTTTGGTCAGTGTTGATTCATTGCATGGTGCTCTAAAAATCTACTGTTCATTTCAAGTCTCAAACAGACGTTTAGACTTCACCAATTTTCTTCCACAAAAGCCAACTAAGCCTGTGACGTCACTGAAAACTGTAATTTACACATTGTGAATGCATTATGTGCAATGTTTTGGAGCAATGTCCCTAATCCCGACACAAAAGCACAGGATAGATTATCCAGTTTGTCCTCTTGAAGCTTGTAGTTTACAAAAAACACAATCACATGAAGTATTAACCCTTACAAATATGAAGCAATGTACTACTCGTGTAATCTGTTTTTTTTTCTTTTGGAAATGACTAATTCAGTATTCACTAATAGCCATTTTTTTAAAACTCTGAATTAACTTTAAGAATTACTTAATTGTTAAGACTTGGGCTTTCAGGTGATTAATTTTTAAAATACAATCTTGTAACTGCAATATAAAACCATACTTATTTTCTACATTCTTCTTCTTTTTGTGCAGTTTCAGATGAAAACTTTTGCAATTTTAGCAATTGTGCTTTTAGTCTAAAGAGAAAAGACAAAGAAACTGAAGCATTTTCATACAAAACACAGTTTATTCGACAGTGTCTAGGTCCAAGTACCAACAGACCCCATACAAAATAAAAATTAAAAAAAAAAAGGGGGGGGGGAAGAAACAAATGCTACAAAGAACAGAGAGAGCTTCCATCTACACAAAACATCTCCTTGAAAATACATTACCAATAACACAAAAAAGTATCCATTAAAGATAATATATGTAAAGAAAATCCCATCATATTTAAGTGATATTACATAACAAGCCTGGTAAAATATTGAATGGGAGGGCACGTTGAACGAGAGTGTGAGCGAGGGATCGTACGGTGTGTTTGTGTGCTTTCTTCTTCCAACAGACTGGGAGAAGAGGGCAACAGTCAGTGATGCAGCAGTCATGTGGGCAGGACAAAGAAATTATTTTAAAAGAAATTAAGAAGAAACAAAAAGGAAGGAGGTGGGGAACAAGAGGTAGCAAAGGGGTGCGCAGAGAGGTAGTAGATAGCAAGAGGAAGATTTCTAGAAGAGGTAGCTAGCAGATGGAGGAGGAGGAAGAGGTAGCAGAGATACTAACAGTGCTAGCAACAGGGAAGGAGTAGTAGTTCTGGTTAAGACTTCACATTAAAACATCCTCATATTGGATTTATTATTCACTTGTATGTCAACTTTAGAACGATGCAGGATGGTGAATGCAGACTAGTTGAAATGATGATTAGAGCAGCAGGAATAAAATAAACATTTTAATTTATTTAAAGCTAACTTGCAAGTGTCATAAAATGTTTTTAATGGGTTGAAAGCACTTGCTGATGACCTGACAAAAACAACTACGTCATGAGGAAAACGGGCTTCCAAATGTTGAGAACGACTCGTTTCGAGGAATAAAATTCCGATTTTAATTTCCAAGATTACTGACATGAAAATACTTTAAAAAGCTCAGAAAAGGGAAACCTGAGCAATGGAAAATGTTGGGAATACTGCGACAAACTGCAGCTAACAAATGGATCTTGTGGTGAAACTGTTGTCCTATCCTAGAACTAATTCAGAGGAGAGACAAAAACAAAAAGCCCATAATGTTCCTTTTTCCCCCTTTTATAGCTACGGGATTTAATTTTAATTTTTTCAGACACTTTGTTCAGCTGATACTGAAAATTAACACGCAATAACTGTTTTTCTCTCAGCTGAGGTTACTTTAGCTTTTTCTGTAATGGGAAATTTAAAGGAAACCAGCATCCAGCTTGAGTAGCTGATATTTAAATACCAAATCTGCACACAAGTATTCAGTGGTTTCGCCCCTTGTTTAATTTAATTTACTGTGACATGACAGGACAGAGCGTTTAAGGACTAAACAGTTATGATTACTTAGTAACTTAATATTTTTCTGTGTAATGGTTTGATACACAAAAATGAGGATATTGCAGAGATTTACAGTAGCTGGAAATTAATGCAAAACGTGCACTAAAGAGGTGAGGAGGGGGAAGAGGGGTTAGCGAGGTAGGCAGCACTAGGCGTGAAGAAACTGAGCATAAGAGAGGGGGGCGGGGTTTAATCGCTACAGTATCAGCACCTAAAAACATCTAGAAGCCCACCGTGCTGAGGAAGAGCATCGTCGTGTTGTGATGTTTCAGCCGCATCACAGCGTCTCCCTCTCTGTAAAGGCTGTGTGAAGGTCAGCAGGAGATTACATGTGTGTTTGTCCAGTGCTTTGTGGCAGGGTCTGGCCAAGTCGGTGTGTGCATGCAGCCTCCAGTGTTCGCCACAGCTTAGCTTACATGTCTGTGTGTGTGCGTTACAGTGCTGCAGGTGGTGTGACAGACAGAGGAAGGAGGTGGATGTACTTCCTTTCATGGCCGGAAAGTCCTAACTTGTGCCTCACAAAATGAGATTTAGCTTCCAATTTAGTTTATATTTGCTAAATACTGCAAATGTCTTTAGTAGGCAAAACTTTTAAATGTTAAAATCATACAATTTAAAGATTTTACTTCTCTGATTAGGAGGTCACAAAGTACTGAGAAGATAACTTGGAAATTTCTGGTCTTTTTTTAAATGGAATTTTAAAGTCCAGTAAAAAGTCCAGTAAAAAGTTGGAAAAAAAATAAGTAATTTTAGTTGAACCCTTACATTTCAAGCACAACTAAGAACAATTTAAACCTTTTCAGCAGGTACTGTCTCTCACGTCTATACTCAGATACTGTTAACAGTATTTACAGCTGCCATTTTTGGGGGGTCAAGGAGGATGCACCTTATCAGACAAAGGCAGACCTAAAGTTAAATCTCCGCCTGCCTCTTTGTTCAGTTTTGACTTTATATCTCAAAATCAGCTAGAGGAGAAGTGAGTAAAAAACAGATTCCATACATTAAAAAAAACAAAAAAAAGGCACAAATGACCATCACCCAGCCCCTCTGTCTGACACACACATTCACAGACACACACTCACACACACAAAACTACAGTGTATCATTTCAAGAGGAGCGAGAGGTAGATACTCGACAAGACAAGAGTGAGGGCAGGCTGGGTCCCCCATGTGTGTTTTATTCATGTTAATGTCTGAAAAATCTGCTTGCTTCAATACACACACACACACACACACACCACCCACCCCTACAGGTCACACCAGCTCTCTAGTCTCGCTAGCTCCCCCTAGTGTTTGTCTTGGAGAAAGAGGAACCAGACAAAAAGCAGGGCGTGTGTTTTGTGAGACTGGAAGGGGGTTTAAGTGCAATTAAAACAGCACTGGAAAAAGAAAGGAGGAAAAAAGAAAGAAAGAGATGAGACAGTTTTTTAAATCATTATTTGTTCTGTCTCCTTGTTTTGCTTTCTGTACACAGGGTCATTCTCTACATCCTTGGTTTGGCCCAACAGAGCAGAAAACAGTGTTTATAAGTAGACGACCCTTGCCGCTGTGCCCTGAGTGGAAGTCTGCATGTATGGGTGCATGTGTGAAATGTCAGGTTACCTCTGCTTTTGAACCCTGTGTGTGTGTGTGTGTGTGTGTGTGTGTATCCTGCGATGAAGTTTATAGTAGATGTGAGTGCTGAGTGAAAAATACCGAGCCAGTAGCAAAGGCCATCAAAAAGGGGTTGATGTTCAGAGAGTTAGCTTCAAGCTTGTGTGCTTTTGTGTGTGTGTGTGTGTCCGCGCGTGTTTGTGTGTAGCTCTTAGTTGTCAGCCACTCGCCCACTCGGAGGTGCTGGAGGACCTACAGGAGCAGGAGGGATCGCTTCAGGCTGTGCAGGTGGTGGACCAGGATCTAAGAAGGAAAATCTTGGTTTTAGAGCATAAAGGAAGCAAGCTAAAGTTTGAACTAATATATAAATGAATATGAAGGTAACTGTAATCCTGGTATTTTCAATACCAGTCATGTGTAATGAACCAGTTTTACATGGTATTTAACCCTTTAGTCTGGCTTTCATCGTTTGCATTTCTCTGTGCAGTCGCAGCTGCACTGTCTCTTCTGTCATATTCAAGACAACATTACAACACTGCTTCACTAAGTGATAAGCTTGGACGTGAAGAGCTTTTCACAGAACCAGAAATTCTCAAAGACCGCTTTTTCAGTGGTTCAAGTGGCTACCATCCTCCTCCAGTACAATTTATTCATCACAGGTTAATTGTGGATGCAATTTGTAAAGCTGATATCTGACTTTAAGAGCTCCCTCTACTGGATGATGAGGCAAAATACATCAAAAACAGTCCGTATCTTTAGAGACAAAAAGGTTTCATCTCATCACAACAATCTACAACGCTTAACGTAGCTACAGGGCAATTATTAGACTAACACACACAGCAGTGGTGTGAGGCTTTAAATTAAAGCCCGCATTGATTTCTGGTAACCATAACTTATGCTGATGGGCAACATAAATGACATCCTAAGGCATGAAGAAAATTGTATTTTTCTCCTCCTTTAAAAAAAAAATTACAGGTTAGGTATCAAAAAGTGCAAACATAGCTTAAAAGTTAACAGTCTAAGAATTAATGGTATCGCTATAATATGTCACCTGCAATAAATCTAACAAATTTTGTTTCTCTTGAGGAATGTAAATGCTGAGAAGTCTCTTTAATACAATGCAAAACAAAAAAAAAAAGATTAAGTAACACCATTCAAAGAGTTCAAATTTCAGCTTTAGTACACGTGGAAACACAAACAGCAGCTGCCAAAAAACTTAAATACATATCATTACACTGGTGCTTAATTTCAGATGCTGATTGGCTGCTTTACAAGGTTAGAGAAATCAATGCAAACCACAGGGTCTGTGCGTGCTGTGATGCTAATAAGCAGCAATGATCCAAATGTTTAGCTGCAGCTGACATTCAAAGTAAATACCAGCTGTCAGCTCCGGGTCAAAGCATTATTTGAATTTCCCAGAAAGATTTTTTTTCTTAGGTTGTTTGTTGGGTAAATAAAGGATCCTAGAAACAAGGCCATAATTTAGCGTGTATTGGTTTTGGTGAATTAAATTTTCACAAATCAACAGAAATAAACCACCTTGAGTTTGCTTATACATATTCAAAAACAACACAAGCATAACGAGAGGGCGACTATTTATACTTACACATGCCGTTGGGGGCTCCGGGGTGGCGTGGGGGCATCATGGGAGGCATGCCACCGGGAGGAGGCCCAGCAGAAGGAGGGCCAGACATCATACGTCCAGGCATTGGCTGACCTGGTCCCATTGGTCCTGCAGCATGAAAAGTACAAATAAGAGAAATCAGACACATGGAGATCAGATGGACATAAGGAAGAAAACCTACATGAGGTGCTTCAAACCAGAAACAAACACTCAACCAACAACTAACATGATTTTGTAGAGAAAAAAAGCCATTTAATCCATTCTGTCCTTATTCTCTGAGAACACTTGATATGTTATTTTGCTGAAGTTTAATGTAATGAGCCAATTATGTCCACATTTTCCTGCAGTTCCCAAAAGCAAATAATCACCAAGGGTTAGTCCAAATGACCAAAATACCAGTCCAAATTAGTGGGACTTTAATAAAGTAATTCATGTAGCTGTTCTTTTAGGTAGATTAAGGCATCATTTATAAAAAATAAATTTAAAAAAATAGAAAAAGAAAAAAAGATTAAAATTGTTAAGCAAGTTAGCAGTTACTACCAAGCTGGCTAACAAGTGGCCAAGATCTAAGACTACAAAACATAGCTGCTAGTATAACTTTGGGTATATATGAAAGACAACCCACTAAAGGCAGCAGAGAGTAGCTACTGAGCTATCAATATCTGATATGGCAAATGTGTAAAACAAACAAAGTCATAACCTGGTAAAGCTGCTGACATTCTTTCCATATGAAAATGCAAATATTTCACAATATCTAAAAGAACACATCTGCTCCCCCTGTTTCAAAGCTCCTTAATCTCTGTATCACTTTGAGCACCAGTGTAGTTTTCCTTTCCCTTCACCTGTCTGTCCTGGGTGGTGAGGGGCCATTGGGTGGTGACCCATTGGGGGGTAGCCAGGGTGCATTGCAGCGCCGGGTGGGGGCCCTCCATGGTGTGGTGGAGGTGCTCCGTGGTGGGGAGGAGGTCCTCCGTGGTGTGGTGTAGGTCCTCCTGGGTGCATGCCTGGTGGAGGGGGCCCAGAGTGTGGTCCAGCCCCAGGCCCCTGTCCCTGTCCTTGGGCCTGGGCAGCTGCAGCAGCAGCAGCCGCGGCTGCCGCTTGCTGCTCCATCTGCTGCCTCGCCTTCATTTCAGCGTATTTGAGTTGCTCCATGTGGAATGCCTGACGCTCGGTTAGCAGCTGCTGCCTCTGAAGCTCCAACTGCACAGAAATGCAGGAACCATGAGGAAAGATTATTTTAAGACAGTTATAATACCAAATACCACCAACAACTGGCAGGTATTGCAGTACATAAAGTTACATTTTCATTGCTTTATATCCTGATAAAGTCTGCTTTACGCCAAAAAGGTGCACACTGACAAAATGCAGGCCTGCATATTTTACAGGGCAGAAGCCTAACTTATGAATACCATGGCCATGAAATCGAAACACAGTTTTTACACATACAGGTTTTCTTGTTACAGGCCACAAAGGTATATTTTACAACTACTTTTAAAAACGTTTTCTTTTTTTTAAATCTTTAAAAACTGTGCATGCATTTAAGAACTGAAGAGCTCGTGCTCATTTCCATTTTGTCCAACTAAACAGGTCGCTGTTTTGGCCATTCCTGATGTCAATCAGCGGCCTTCTCTAGTCTGGCAGCAATAATTCTTCCTCCAGACTGAACTTGCAGCAGATGTACAGCTAGTGTGTGTGTGCAGCTATGCTGAGATGAATGAGTGAAGTCCTACAATAACTACATAGGCCACTGCACTCACCACACATTCCTTATACTGATGAGACTGGACCCACAGTATCATCAGGTGGGTATTTAAAAACATGGATATAAAAATAAAGAACTACAGCCAAAGTCAAAAAGAACGTTTATGAAGCTAAAAAGAAATAAACTAGCTTCATGACAAAAATCAGAACAAGAAAGGGGGAGGTCTGTTCAGTTCCTTCTGCATAGCACATACAGCTCTAAATAAAGCCTTGTGTTTCTTTGTTTTAGAGTCTCAGTGTTTTACAGTTTATGTTAGGAACAGCAGCAGGAGTGGGTTGGTTTCATTCCAGCGTTCAGAAAGCCTCTTTAACCAGACTTCTTTTCATGCACTGTTTACAGCTGTGAAACTGGGCTACACTGCCAATGCTGCTACCGTGAAAACACAGTTTTACACTCTCACTAGCGTCTCCAGGGATTGTGCAGGGACAGAACACACACAAACAAGAGCTGAGAGTCATTCATTTGCTCTGTCGGGGCAGGTAACACTTTCACTTGCCTCACTGAACAACAGCTTTGCTTTGGAAAAAATGTTCTCCTCACAGAGAATTAATGCTGCGTCTCTTTTTCAATCTCTATGGAAGACTTGGGCCAAGTGGGGACAAACCTGTTGACTGGCCAATATCTGTTGATGAATTCAATCTTTATTAGTTACTTGTGCCAATATAGCAACAGAAGAAGCGAAACTTTGTAACGCAGTCTTTTCTGGACAACTCCAAAAGGATGTGCTAATCCAAATAGTTATATTTCTTTTTCATTTTAAAGTGTTTCACAATTATTTTACATTTTTTAAACAGTCTAATAAAGACTTCTAACAAGTAAGGATATTTGTGTATTTACCTATTAATTATATGGTAGTGGTGTAATGCTGCACTCATGTTCCACCTTTAAACCTCCTAAAATATTGACATTTGTCCCAACTTAAAATGTCTGTTCTTAAATTTAAGAGTTTAAATCAAACATTCAACTTTATCTCAATATTTTGTTACACGTGTTGTTTTTTTTTTTATAAAAAAAATATTTCACAGGCTAATATGGGGTATCTGTAAGTATGAACAAGTTAAATGTAAGACCTTTATAACACAATCTTAAGAGAATATGCTGTGAAAGTCGCATAAAAGTGAAATATACCCTTCCCAAGGAAACCTGTTGATGGCAAGTTAAAATGGTGTTTAAGGAAACGTACAAATATTTGGTTAATTTTAAAACACCATCCCAATATTTATCTTTTCAGACTGCTACAGTAAACCATTTGCACATATGCAAAACCTATTAGGTGAAACCTTAACGATGCAGTCATGCTGTATGAGCTAATTGAGTAGCATTATGTGCCGGAGATTTTCACGGTGGTGAGAATGAAAACGTTCTTGACTCTGTGGTGTAGTGGTTGAAACATTTGGCACACACAAAAGATCCCCAGCTCAAGGCTGAGAGGAGACACAAACAAGGCTTTAAGCCTTGATTATTGTGTGTATCTGTGACGTCCATGTGGCTGCCTGTTTTTTGCCACTGCTCGGACTTGTCTGCAGAGAATTTACATTACAATGCATGAGCCTTGAGTAGCAGACTTCAAAATGAGTACTCTGCTGTTGGGTCTCCAAAAACATCCAAAACAAGCAGTTCTGGATCTCCCCACAATGTACAGGGAGTGCAGAATTATTAGGCAAATGAGTATTTTGTCCACTTCACCCTCTTCATGCATGTTGTCTTACTCCAAGCTGTATAGGCTCGAAAGCCTACTACCAATTAAGCATATTAGGTGATGTGCATCTCTGTAATGAGAAGGGGTGTGGTCTAATGACATCAACACCCTATATCAGGTGTGTACAATTATTAGGCAACTTCCTTTCCTTTGGCAAAATGGGTCAAAAGAAGGACTTGATGGGCTCAGAAAAGTCAAAAATAGTGAGATATCTTGCAGAGGGATGCAGCAGTCTCAAAATTGCAAAGCTTCTGAAGCGTGATCATCGAACAATCAAGCGTTTCATTCAAAATAGTCAACAGGGTCGCAAGAAGCGTGTGGAAAAACCAAGGCGCCAAATAACTGCCCATGAACTGAGAAAAGTCAAGCGTGCAGCTGACAGGATGCCACTTGCCACCAGTTTGGCCATATTTCAGAGCTGCAACATCACTGGAGTGCCCAAAAGCACAAGAACCTGTGGTCCATCATCAAATGTGAGATTTACAAGGAGGGAAAACAGTACACCTCTCTGAACAGTGTCTGGGAGGCTGTGGTTGCTGCTGCACGCAATGTTGATGGTGAACAGATCAAACACTGACAGAATCCATGGATGGCAGGTTTTTGAGTGTCCTTGCAAAGAAAGGTGGCTATATTGGTCGCTGATTTGTTTTTGAATGTCAGAAATGTATATTTGTGAATGTGGAGATGTTATATTGGTTTCACTGGTAAAAATAAATAATTGAAATGGGTATATATTTGTTTTTTGTTAAGTTGCCTAATAATTCTGCACAGTAATAGTCACCTGCACACACAGATATCCCCCTAAAATAGCTAAAACTAAAAACAAACTAAAAACTACTTCCAAAAACATTCAGCTTTGATATTAATGAGTTTTTTGGGTTCATTGAGAACATGGTTGTTGTTCAATAATAACATTATTCCTCAAAAATACAACTTGCCTAATAATTCTGCACTCCCTATAGTATAACCACCACACGAGGTTTTCTACTTGCCAGTCCCAGATTAATGGGATGGCTGTGTCAGGAAGGGCATCTGGCATGAAATCTGTGCCAAACCAAGCATGCAGAGCCATCCGCTGTGGTGACCTCTTGGGAAATACGGAAGCAGCTAAAAGTAACCTGTGACTAAAAACATTCTCCTTTGACTTCAAGTCTTTTTAAAAAACGTATTAGTTGCATTAATAATTTTATAGACCTTTTAAAGATCTGTAGACACTTTGTCTGAGAGGTGGGTACTTTATAAATCTGTCTTTGCTTCAAACAGCTAATTTTCCACTTTAGAGACTAGGCGTAGTTTTAAAGTGCCGGATGAACTTCTGTTAACAGCTCACCTTCATTTTTGATAACCACAGTTATAAGCCTTTACTGAGCATTAGAGGATTTGAGTGCCTGCATTAACTGAAAGTGAAGAGTCCAGCTGCCCAACAGAATACAACATTGTATTGAAGTATTCCTGACTTACAGCCTCTTTCTCACGGTCCATGATGGTCTCAAGTTCCTCAAAGTGTCTCAACTTGATCTCCAGTTTCTTCATCTGGGTCTCGACCAGCAGAGCCACCAAGGACTTGATCTTCCGCTCCTCCACTGCTGCCAAATGCTAAAAGGAAGGCAATATCTAATCAATGCTAAATAACCATTTCCAGCATTTTACTATTTTAACACTTACAAAAAAAAAAAAAAGTACAGGATTCCATCAGAACAACAGGTACACAAAATTATAGCAGCAACACAGTGTCATTTGAGAAAAGCTGAAGTTGTTCCATGCAATTGCTGTTGCAGAGTCAGCAGTCCTGCAGTCTTACCTTGGCTTTTGTGGCAGCAGATGCCAAGGCAGCAGCAGCCGCAGTGGCAATGTTTCCTTCTCCGATATCATGTTCCAGCTTCTTGCCCTTGTCCTCTCCCTCCTCTGTAGGGGTTTTCTCCTCCTTCTCCTTCTCCTGGTCTGAAGATGATGTCTCCATAGACTCCTCTTTGTCTTTGTCTGATAAGGAAAAGAAAAAATAGAAAAGATCAAGCACTTTATGTAGACTTTTCAAAGAATGTGTGTGGAAAAACATTATCAGATTTTACAGACTAATTAAACAATAAAACATTAAATAAATTAGCAAATCATCAGGATAATCAACCAGAAGTAGACCCTTTAAATTGCAATTTAAAAACAAAGTTGCATGCCTGTGAAATGGAGCTTTAGTTTCACTTTGGCATAAACTGTTACCTGCTTGAGCGGTCTTAGCCTCCCCTCCCTCTTCATTCTCTTCTTCACGCTCCGATGCCTCCGCTCCCTCTTTTTTCACCTTTTCTGTTGCTTCTGTCTTGTCGCTCTTCTCGGCAGACTCGCTCGGCTTCTCAGCTTCATCCTTCAACTCACCCTGAAGGTCGAGGAAAATCAAAAATGGTAGGCGTGCCACCACAGAAGGAAAAAAAACCCCAACAACAACAACTGTACTGCGAGTCTGAATTTAAGATTTGCTCTGAGATTTGAGAAATAAGTGTGGTTCAGAGTAGCTAGCTGCTTAAAAGTGTTGAATAAAGGACATTCATTCAAGGTTTTTCACCTACAAAATGCTGCGAGTACACTCAATAGTTGATCAAATCTCGACCCTGTTAACTTTCTTCCCCCAATCACTAATGTAAGAGAATAATTAAGTCAACAGCCACTAGTGTCATTACATTCACTCGCTTTTTAAAGCACGAGACGAAGGCTAAAAGTAAATGAACTGGAAAGTTCTAAATCGTGCAAAAAATAAGTGAAGTGGCTATCAATATAATAAGTGACAGGTCATCTGTCTGTACAGGAACACTCATGAACCTGTTACAGCATGCCAGACTATCTGAAGCTGTAACCTTGTAATAACATCAGAATAATGTAGTTAGTCTTTGTTTTGTTTCATTTTTTACTCTTGAGCAAAACATGATGAACTGATCTGGCTGGTAGTAAGACACTTCGCAATATTTTGCAATTCATACACTCTTAATAAAACCTGAGGTATAATTCAAACCATAGTTTTGATCAAAATAATCTACCTCACCATTGGATGGGATTATGTTGCATCTCCATTACCAACGCTTGTCACCCCAAGTCTGGTTATATTGTGTACTTTCAATGAAAAACCTAAGCCATGAATGAATTCAGGTATGCACATGGCCCAAGTTGGATGTTTTAATCTGATTTATTAATCAGTTTGACCTTTTAATTAGTAGGGGATTTATTATAATATCCATTTATAAATAGATGTTTTCCTATGAGACAGTGAACATCTGAAGATGCATGAAAGGTGGTCTCACCTTGTCAACCTGCTGGGAGTCAGAGTCTGTTTCCATCTTTTCCGGCTCTGTGGTTTCTGTAATTGACAGCAAGACTGAAAAATCAGCATCTGTCAGACAGATAAAACTAACAAAGAGGGTGAGAGATTATTTTAAATACATTCTAAATTTACATAGATATCACCAACATTTGTGATATGACTGTAGCTGAATAGTCAAACTAAGATATATCATCCTGTCTGGAGTGAAATTAACTTATTGATTTACTGAGATAAACACCATCAAAAAGCATCGTTTGACATGCAGGTACTAAGGTTGAAAGCACTTTAAATGAATAGGCCCACAGGAAATGACAAGTGTTGTGTGTACACTCACACGTGACCGGGTGAATACATGCGTGTGGCTGAGTGTTAAACCATGTCACGGGTGCACTTGAGCGTATGTTAAGAGTTTGAATATTGATTTCGTGCCAGTTGAGTGCTTTAGGCTAAAGGAGGCATGGAACACATTTAAACTTATTGATTACAACTGTAGCTCAAGAGAGCATTAATCTTTAACAAGTGATAAGTATTGTGTGTGTGTGTGTGTTTGTTTGTGTGCAGGGGCGATGTGGGTAATTTTCAAGACAACACAGAGAGAGAGAAAGCGATGAGAACATCCATGAGTGTGGTGACCCAGTTTTCTCCTTCACCTCCTCCCACTGTGCTGCCCCATCTGCAACTGCAGCTTTAATCCACTGGTTACCACAGCAGTGTACACAGAAACACCACAACATTTCACAATATGTCTTTACTCCTCAGTAGCCTGCTGGTAAAAGGACTGATGTGTAGCAAAAGTCAAATACGAGCCTAAATATGATGAGAAACATCGGTTAGCCTGGACATATGCACAGAGCAGCAATTTACATTAGAGTGGACATCCCTCATTGCTGAATAACATTGTGATGTTGGAGCTGGTCACAAAACTACCAAACCTCAGCAAAGACAGATGATTATTTTAGATGATACCTGCCTTCCCCCAACAGGAAATGCTTGAGGTATTACACCTTCTAACATGTTTAGAAATATGTTAAAGACTTTCGAGGCTGGCTTTGAGGCATCAGCCTGTCTTTCTTTACCATCTGTACAAACAACACTCACCAGTCTTTTCTGGCTCCTCGGGGGCAGTTCCAGCAATGCCGCTGCTCTCCAAACCAAAGGCGGGATCCACCTTCCCAGTAGTTCTGGCCGCCTCCTGCACCTTCTTCACGTGAGCCTCCACCAACTCAGCTGGCACCTCTTCACGCACACGAGAGAACTCCTCTGCAAACAAAGAGTGGACGTTTTTTACTTTCAGACTCTCATTGATAGTAATATGACAATCCATTAGTTCATGGTGTGTTCAGACATGAAGCTAGTATTATATTCCCAAGCATGCCAGCTGGACTGTGCAGCTTGTGTTTATTCACTTTATAATGACAAAGTAGTCACATATGCATAGACCGTTTTTGGAGCTGCTTTCAGTATTGTGTGTTCACTTGGTGTTCTCTGTTTATTTAGTTTCAAAAAGCAGTAGTAACAGTGTTAATTACTCACAGAGCTAAACCATTTTTTTTTACCCGTACATAGCTACTTTCCCCCTGTTATTCTTCCCACTTAAAAATAAAAATAAAAGCCACACATCAGTATCGGCTCATATTCTAGCTTAGCTGACAACAATCAAATCATTTGATATTTATTAATTACAGTGGCCAGTGTTTGTCTGTTGTCTCAACTAAATCTCATGTTACGTTATCTGAGCAATTCAGTAGTTACATTTATCTTCTACTGGTCTTTTTGTTTTTAGTGTAACTGGCACAAGACCAGGAAAAATATTACTAACTTGTGTAACAGGTCACTTTTAGTTACACAAAAGTAACATGTGTAACCAAAAGGCAGACATCTCCTCTTTAACGTTCAAAAATCAGAACCATTCAAAACCCAACCCATATATATTTGTGGCTGCATGATGTTGTTTAAGATAATGAAACTGAATATACAGATAAATCTCTAGTATCTCCTCTGAAGTCAAGAAACTGCTGCACTGATATTTGTTGTAAATGTTTCTGTTTCTGGCTATTTAGCAATTAAAATACAGAAGCTCATTAAAATATCGTATAGATTAAAACCCTGCAGTTTATGGCTCTTTCCCACCAGTTCTCACCTAGTGCTGCCTTGGCTGCAGCAGATGCCACTCTGGGATCCACAACAGATGCCAGGAAGGCTACTGTGCTCATGACTGGGTTCCCAGACTGGCTGAAAGGTATGGGCTGATAGGAAAGAGGCCCAAGTGTGGCCTCCGTACTCTCCAGGTATGGATCTTCAATAGGCAATCGCAGGAAGTGCAGGATGCACTCATCTTGGGTGCGTGAACCAACATGCTCTGAAACCTTGTTCCAGTCATCTTTATACATCTCCAGGGCCTAGCCATAGGTGACAGGAGTGACGATACAAGTCTTATTATAAAAAGAAAGCCAGAGAACATTTAATAAAGCAATATTTATAATTCCATGAGGCATAAAGAGTTTATCGCCATCTTTTTTTGTTAAAGACAAAAAAACATAGAAAGAAAATGACAGAAAAAAGTGTGGTTTTTTTTGTTTTTTTTAATCAGGTCATAAGAACAGGTTGAGCTTATGATCAGCAGCCAAACATTGGAAGTTTTTCTTATTTAAAACAGGACACTCCTATCTTCTGTACTTTAAGACTCACCTCGAGCAGCAGCAGAGTCTCCTGCTCAGTCCAATCTCTGGTAGTGCTGCCTGCTTTACCCTGAGGAATCAAAGTCCACAATAGACATTTCTTTGTTTTTAAATTCTAACACACCAGCTCAGAGAGACTGTTAGAACTTCAAACATGAAAAACACATTAGGAAGTTGAACAAGCTCCAACCTTGATGCTTTTCCTGTTGTAGAGGTCAGAACGAAGGCTAAAGTTCTGCAGGTCGATGGGCTTGTCTTTGCTTTTGTCTGCAAAATTGGGCATTGGCTGTGGAGGAGGAATCTGGAAGGAATAAAATGGCCAAACATTAGCAAACCATCTTTATGAAGATGTATTTTTTTGCAATGGGACCATCTGAGACGTGCAGCAGTTTTACAAATGAAGCTCATCAATGAAATGGTACAAGGGTATAATGGAGGGAACCCAGAGAAAACAACACAGCTGTGATTTTTATTATTATAATTTCAGTGATAATTGTTTTGCAACTATTTCAGTTTGTTTTTCTTTTGACATCTTAATCAAAGTTAAACATCTTTTGGGGTTGGTGTGTTGGCACACACAAAAACAAAACAAACAATCAAATCACAGATTCCATGCTTCCCTTTTAAAGTGAATTGCTAGCAAAAAGGACAAAATTCTTCAGGAATTTGATCTATATGTGGTATAAAAACAAAAAACAAAACAAAAAACCCCACAAAACTATTTTAGGTGTTTAGCGATAACGTTCAGGGATGTTATTAAAAGCCACTCTGGAGTGAGTCATTGCTCAAAAATTTCTTTATTTGGAACCAATCTATTTATCCTCAAAAAATATGGTCCTTGGCCGCACAAGTGGATTCAAACCTACTTCTTCCTTCCCTCTTTAAGTTGACCTTACCGGTTGGGGTCTGTGGTTAAGAGGCATGAGGCCAGAGGGTGTGTCAGCCAGCACAGTAAAATGAGGAGTGGGTGGGGGGCCCATCGGCAATGGACGAGACTCTGCATCGACCTGGTAGTTCACCAAACCCCACTGCTCCAAGAATGCATGTACCCTGGAGGGGGAGGGAGAATAATTACATTAAAAAATAATTAAAACAATGAAAAGCTACTTATCATCTTCTCTTTAAAGCATTTGTGGTACCTACAAGGACTGTGTTTGGCTGAAGGCCTCCCAGTAGGTGTTAACTTGCATAATACAACAATTCAATTCATTTAGGGTAAGTTTTTAATATTCATATATATTTTTATATTGACTTAGCCACTGCCCATTAATCCAACCAAATTAATATGTAAAAAAACCAAAAAAAAAAACCCAGAAAAGTTAACAACATGTGGATCTGTCGAACCTCATGATGGCGCAAACATCTCCAGTCAGGTTCCTGCGGCAGGAGGTGGAGGTGAGGTACTCCTGAGGATTCAGCCGATACGTGTCGATCATGAAGTTGCGATAGGCCAGGTATCTGTGTTGAGATGTCGCAGTATGTCCCGTTAGAATGATAGGAGACTTATTACATGAAAGCTGCGTGTGTGCGTGTGTGTGTAAACTCACATTTCTGGAGTTTTGGACTTGTTCTTTCCGTTGAAAAACTCTGGCAAGGCTCGTCTCTCAATCTCATGGATGCTAACAAGAAAGGAAAGGAAAAAATATTGATAGATGTCAAAGTAGGAAGAAACAATGTTATTCCTAAAATAAAATTGCATTTTTAATGGCAATGAGATTAAGAATGGCCTGCAGATGTCATCAAGTGCACCTCTAACTGCATGTAAACTGCAGCTGGTGGTTTTTTTTGTGTTTTTTAAAATGCATCTGTAATCCATCTTCTTCCAAACAGCAACATCTCGCTATCTCTCCAAAATAAAAAGCCTCCTATCATCTCCACTCCACATAAGCTTTTGAAAAGTTAGTTATAACTTATTAACCAAGTTATTTGTGTAATGTAGCTTAAGTTTCAGATTCACAACACTTACCTGTTGTAGTCAAACCAAGCAGCATAGCTGGGGATAACGATGTGATGCGTCTGTTCAGTCACATTGTCCTCATTGGCATCCAGTCGGTTTATTTCACTTTTGCCTTGTTCCTCATCATCCTGCAGAAGGATAAGCAGACAGGTCAAGTAACAGCAGTCTGAAAAAAGTCATCGTGCTGTGTAATTACAATTCATGAGACAGCCCTACTTTGGAAGTAAAGTGGCTTTGCTCACAAACATTTATCTAAAAAAAGAAAACACAGCCTGTATAAAGAATGAAGAAAAACAGCAGGTGCACGCTAGTTTTTAGTTCTTTGAATAATAACTATAGGGATATTTTAATCGTACCATTTCCTCATATTTCAATTAGATTTAGTTTAACTGAATCAAAATACACTGTTTATATTACATATCACTCCCAGGAGTGACTGGGAGTGATATGTATATGTGATATTCCTAACTACACTGGAGAGATAAAGACAGACAACAATGGTCTTACCTTTCCACCAGACATCACAGATTCATCTTCCATGTCATCTGGAAAAAATAAAAATAAATGTCTTGACTCAGGTTTGCTTTTAAACTGCAGGACAGCTTAAGCTCACATACAAAAGATGCTAATCTCACTCATATAACTCCTACACAAGGATACAAGTTCATTTATAAATACATACCCAAGTCGGCCACATGCCCTCCTTTGACCGGTGTATTCTCGCTGTCTTTCTTTGAATTTGCTGTGCATGGAATAAAAGAAAAAAAATGTACAAAGTGAAGTACAGAAGAGGGGAAAAATTAAAATATTTAAGAAAAATTATTCAAAGACTGTCTAATTCAGCCATGGGCATGAAGACAATAACGAGCTTTCTGGTTTGCAAAAGGGGAGACTAAAATAGACTGGAGTGTGTGTCTGTGTGCTGGAGGAAGACAAGGAGATTTCTTTGGGACAAAAGTGGGACATAACGAATGGGACTTGGTCTAAAAAGAGTATTATAGACAGAATTGTGTGTGTTGGTTTTAAAGGGAATCTTTAAGCAGAATACAGATCGTGAAAAAGAAGCACCCAAAGGCTGTTTTTCTACTTTCTGACTTAAACTGTGAGCGTCTCTGGGTACGTTTTTTTCCCTTGCTGCTGAGGGGGTTTTCTTGTCATCATAACATAATGATTCAGTACACAGCAGCCACATAGAGAAAAAATCACAAAAAAATGAATTTAAAATTGAATGAAATAAAATTTATCTCTGTTTAGAAAAGGACAAACCTTACAAAGAGAGAAACAGGACAAAGATCACAGTGCAGGTTTCTTACTGCTTATAAAGCTCTAGCTGAACATTGCAACACATAACAACAAGACTGAAGAGGGCACTTATGACAGGAATCATTTAAATATCCTAATTTCTGTCTCTGATCTTACTGGCAACTGCAGACAAATACCATTTAAAACTATTTAAAATATGATTATGTTACAATTATAGATAAAATCTAAATACGACTCAATTGATGATCAATTAAATGTAAAGACAATAAAGTCATTTTAGTTATGCATACTTTGCTATACATGCTATAGAGCAAAACTTTACATTTGTAACTGAATATTAAATACACTTTTTATCTGCTTATGTAAAATTTCTTTAATATGACTATCCTGTGATGTTTAACTACATTTAACAAATATTAAAGTATTGATGGCCAAGTTAGGATGCCTATTGTGGTAAAAAATTATTTGGTCTATGCAAGCAGTTTTTGTGTCCATGTAACCACTTAAATTTAAATTCAATTAGTTAGGCGTTTCATAATAACTGTCTGACGTTTTCTATGACAGCTAAGACAGAATAATTACATTCATTTTAGAAGGCTAAAACATTTAATGAACAAGTGTATTTAATTAATCTAATGATAATCCAAATTAATGCTTTAATACACAGGAAAAGTATCTCATGTACAGATGGTAGTTTGCAACACAAACACAAATAGAGCCAAGCTTAGCCCCTATACTCAGCACATACCATTCTTGGAGATGCTGCCCTCCTCCATGCTAGCACCAGCTGAGGAATCGTCCATGTCTTTTGTCATGTCCTCTTCAGTGTCCTCCTCTTCTCCTCTGTGGCCCCGTCGTTTCCAGTGAGGTCCCGGGTTCCTGAGAGAAAGAAATGATTTATTTGCTTTTCTCTAACTGTTAAAACGTGACAATTAAAAAAAAAAATAAAACACCAGGATAAATAACTGATATCTTATTATACTGCACCACAGGGCTTCATTGTCGTCCTAATTCTACTCACATCAGTCTCACTGCTGTACAAAGTGACATGTTCATTCATTAAATATAGTCTACATTGACTCAATCACACATACACAGTCCTGCTACCATAAATGCTCCCTAGCACAATCACTGTGGATTAATATCCAAATACAACTAGTCCCCAAGCCTTGGAAAATTAATTTTTGCAGCATATTTTATTAAAATCTGCTTAAACAAAATGAATGATACATCTCCTGTTCCTGAGTCACATTTAGGCCTGTTGTCTTTTGAAAAAAATGTATTGGATCACCAAGTTTTATCCTTTAGAGACAAATCTGAAGTTTTAGGAGACCACTTGCACAAATCTGCAATCTGCAATTTACTCAGTACTCGCTACATTTTATACTACCAATAAAAACAAAAATGAAGAGAAGCATCCTTACCCCTTCTTGCCTCCCTTCTTACGGGACTCGGCTGGAGTGCTGGGTGGAGAGGGTGAGCGCCTCCTCTTCTTTCCCGCAGAGTTGGCCTTGCGCTCCTTGCGATCGGGTGTACGGGAAGACTGATCAGACAAACCCCGAGCAGCGCAGGGAGCGAGGGATGGAGGATGAGAGAAAGAGCGGCAGAATGAGAGGATGGAACGGTTGCACACACAAGGAGGGGAAGCAGTGGGAGAACGACCGTAGGAGGGGTGGGGTGGGGATGCCGTGGAGGTGGAGGAGACGATCAGGGTTCCTGTTTGTCCTCTTCAAACAGACACTCTTTCACACTGACCCTCATTTCAGGATCAGAGGAATTTCTCTTCAGCAGCAGACAAACTTCTTTTTGTCCAGTTGTTACTATTTGATTCTTTTTCTCCCCCTTTTCAAATTTAATAAAAAGTAACAAAAAAAAGGCTCCAGATTAGATAAAATGATAAGCTTTTAATGTGTTTGCTGTGGCTCTATAGATGATGTTAACTTCGCACTCTATGACTGCATTCTGGAGATTTATCCAAGTCCTACAAAACAATTCATCCATTGTCAATAAATTTGGAGCTTTCATAAATATTTCTATCCTGCAGATGGTGCTTCATCCACCAAATTATAAGAACTAGTAGAAAAGCCTAAGCCTGACCAGTCAGCTTTTCATAAATGAATGTGATGTGAGTGCCCGCCTATTCAGCCCAAACTCACACTTAAGCGAAAGCTTCATCTACAGCTTCACACATGTAAACAAGGATGAATATGCCAGCCAGCATAGCAGTTCCTGATGATTAGGTCAGCTGGCAGGCTGTCCTGAGTGCACTTACTACAATGGCCATTCCTGGCAGTCTTTTTTCTGTTTACTTCCAGGCATACTCTGGGGCTGAGGATTAATAAAAAGCTAATTCATATAAAAACTATTTTTTTGAAAGGCTTAGTGAAGCATGTGCTTACTAACCTCATAGATGCAGTTCACTCAATGTTTTGTGTGAGTCCGTGTATGACAGAGGTCAAGAGTACAACGTAAGGGTAACCCAAAGAGCTACACCGAATGGGAAACTGGAGCACTTAAACATCTGTGTGGCCTGTTTGCTTAATGCTCACATGAGTGATCATGAGTGATCAGTGAAAAGGCCAAAACAGTGTAAAAGAAAACTTAATGTCTCTGGCATCATAACTTTTGGACTTCATTTACCCAACATGAACAGGAACCCTGAAACTCATTAGAAATAGACAAAGTGTGAGGAAAGGCTTGGAAAGGATGGGCAGCATGCAGACTGAAGCCAGTTGTGAACGAAGAAGAGTGAGGTGCACAATCCATACAGCAAAGCAACATGCAATGGGACAGACTAACAGCAAAAACATTCAAATTCACACCAGCATTCACACCTAGTCTCAGTCAAATAATTTCCATTTCCAGGCTTACATACAGTACAGATTTGAAGACCAATTTTAGATTAATACCTCTACAAAAGAGCCAATTTCAACACAAGTCACTTGTAACAACGATCAGGTTGCTGCCCTTTAACAACAATGGTAGGAGCGGTGCTGTCACACTGTACTGATATAACGTGGCTGGAAAACCTGCTTTCTCTTGGATTTGAAGTTTGGATCACTGACACACACCCACACAGCAAAAACACATACCTCTTCCTCTTTGGGGAAAATCTTCTGGCGGAAGCTGACTGGCTTCTTGTTCTCATCCACTTCGTAGTCTTCCTCATTCATCCACTCATTGAAGGCATCTGTGTCTAAAACCCACTTGGCATGGACCTTATCAGAGTAAGGAAGGAGATAACAGAGTAGAATCAACTCATCAATTTACTCTGCTGACCTAATTTCCCATTATTTTTCAGTGGAAGACACTAAAGAACAAGTAGAAGAGACAGAAATACATAAATGCAAAAACAAGGAAATTGGTTAGCTGATGTGGTAAAGCCGCTTCACTTTACATTTTAAAATAAATAAATACAATAAAACTTTGCTTGGTATGCAGGTAGAAACACATGTCAGATGCATACAATAGTGACCATTTATATTCTCAGGACAATTTATAAACACATAGGTAACAAAAGCCAAAACTGGAAACTCTAAGGGACACAAAAAGTCTTCCAGTATCAAAAGAAAACCTATTGGTTACACACATCTCACCTTCCAAGGTCTGTCAGTGCTGGGTGGGTCCTCTGGGTCACCGTCTAACTCACTGGCTGACACCCAGGTGTCGTAGCTAACAAAATAAAAACAGTTATCAGTAACTTCATGAAGTCATGAACAGAAATATCTCTCTCAGGATGATTTGAGTGATTATTTCTTTTTCTTTTCTTTAATAAAATGCCAACATTTTCCTAAAATGCCCAAATATTAGAAGGAAATAATTTACATCCACCAGCTGAAGCACAGATCTTTTTGTGAGCTGCTTAATGCCTCACTCTGCTCACCTGTCTGGGTAGAGACCCCAATGGACAAGCACCTGCTTGTCTTTTCTCATGACAGGACGCAGCCACTCCTCTGCAAAACATAAATACCAATATTCAGGAGTTTTCACAATTATTTACACTTTTATAAGCAAAAACAAAACTAAAAAAAAAACAAAGTGGTAAGATTACCAAGCAGTATTTGATCACTTTACTATATTTTAAGTCACTTTTAAAATCTTTCATTATTTAACTGTAGTAATAAGTTGGTTTTAGGTCAGAAGGATAATGAAGTGAGAATGAAAGAAAGTAGATATGTGGTTCACATTACTTGACTAAGAATTAAGTCCGTAAATCACAGAGATAACTAACAAACCTTCTTCTTGCTGGGATAGTGATGGGTAAATGATATGGGTGGCCTTCGACTTGTCATCAGTAATGGAGCCCTGAAGAGAACAGAGAAAAACAAAATGAACAACTTAAAAGGCTGCTACACCAGAGCGTCCCACGAGAATTTTACTACTCTGGAAATCATTTCATTTCTGTGCTCACCTGGTGTCTTTTGATGATGTCTTTGAGCTTACTAGCCTGTTTCTGCTCGATGTCTGGCGACAGGTAAACAGTGGGTCGAGTCAAGCAGTTATTCTACACATGAAGAAGGTTTAAGTTAGAGTCACGCAAAAAGTTGCTTTATAACAAAGCAAAAGTACAAAAACAAAAGTACACTCACTTATTTCTCAATGCAGTGATTACAGTTGAAGTTTTAAGGGACACTTGACAACATAAAAACACACCTTTACCTCATTTCCATACAACTGCATACAGTCAAAATCTGATACCTGCACACTGGCTAAATGGAATCTGAGCTTATTCATTTAAAATGTTAAAAGACTTTGAGTTACTGAAACTTACAATAATTTTAACAATAAAAACCCTGTATGCATTTTGAAAGTGTGAATGCCAGTTAAACACAACTGCAATATCTGAACTTCATAACTAGAATACACGAAGCCTAATTGAATTTTATTAAAGACTGCACTTTGATTAACAAATGTACTTAGAATAAACATAAGGAGAAGCTCGAGCATTAGGACTTTGTCCTGTACCTGGACCAGGTTCTTTTCAACATTTAAGAACATTTCCACGTTCCTGTCCATCCGGGAGGGATTCTGTAGGTCAAATCTTCGCCTGAGAATGACACAAAGCCACATGAATATTCAAATAATAACTCTGCATTTATTATGACTTTATGTGCAACTTCTATGCCCTACACCATCCATGGACTGCTGAGATATTCAACTTGGGGGACAAATAAAGTCATTCAAGGTAGTACAATCACTGGGAACTGACACAAATGGTTATTTTTTTTTAACTCCATAAACCAACATCCTAAAATACAAGACCATTAAGATTTTTGCTTATCTTCAAAATGCACAACTGAGATAGTTTAAATTATATTTCTAAGACCAATGACTTCAAAAGGAGGGTTTAAGTTGATGATCAATGTCAGACCCATCTGCTCATACTAAGTTACACAAGTTAACTTACCAGCCTTGCTCGCTCTTAAACTTGTAGACAGATCCCAAAATGTGACAGAGAGCACCTCCTGCCTTGAAATCCAGGAAACACTTGGCCTGAAGATATGAGAGGAACCATAAGAACAGAACACTTTACCATTTGGGATTCAACTGTGATGGCGATTTTTGTAGAATGCAATGTTTGTATGCTTACAGGTAGCTTTGTAAGAGCAGGATTGTTGACTCTTCGCCCAAATGCGTCTTCCTGGAAATGCAGCAGTTGGACCACGAGACCTGCCAGGGATTTACTGGAGGGGGAGTCATTCTGGACGTACTGGAAGTAGGCACAAAAAAAAAAGTTATCGGTAACATGATAGCAATGGCACTGAGTCCCATCTCATCTAGCAGTCTTTTTTTTTTTAGCAAATCAAGGTGGCCAAAAGACAGAAAAATACAACCTACAAGAGTTTAGATTTTTTTTTTGTACATGAATTAATTCCAAAGAAATGCTCAAAAGTCTGAGAATGGGCTTCTTCATTTGATAATAAGATAACTCTTTATTGTCATTGCACAGTCATTCATAGTACAAAAGTACAATGAAATTGGAAAACTGTCCCACAACGACATTGCATACAACACAACACGACATAACACATCACAGTATCAAAACTTAAGTAATAAAAGGAAATAATAAAAAGAAGTCTGTTACCATGATATGAGCAGCCACAAGAGTCGTTTACTAGAGCTCTATTTCTGTTTTGTTTTGCTATACTAGTATTAAGCAGTGGGGTATAGACAGGTTAGTCCTGTAAAGAGGCTCATGCACCTCTCAGATAGCTTAAGTCATGACGGAGAGCATCATTAGCATGGTTATCAGCAGCTGGGAACATCATCACAAAGATAAGAGCAAGCCTCGCTCCAGAACATCCAATCATGAATTCATGAACCAAATAATATACAAACTATTGAGTAATGTTAAAAATACATTTGATTATTTTGAAATTCAAATGTTTCTTGGATCATTATGTTAAGTTGGTGGGGGACAAAACAACAGGGTGATATTCACAGGTGGGTAGACTTCAGCAGATGAGGTACTACAGGGTAGAACAGGAGGTTTGGCTACAGGAAGCAGAGATAAGAGTTACTGAAATAATTAGGCAGATTAGTCGAATAGCAAAATAATTGTTAGTTGCAGCTAGGGCTGGGCCACATTATACTGTTCACGGAAATACCGGTATAATGTTAGGCAACGATAGGAAAATGAAATATCGCGATAGATGAGTAAAACGCGCATGCGCAGTGCCTTTGTTTTCATACGCACATGGCCGATTGTTGAGTGAAACAGATGAACCAGAATTGGTTTGTAAAAATGGTGCAACTTCAGTGATGTGGAACTGGTTTGGTGTTTGTCCGTCAGATACACGACAAAGCACATTTTTTTGCAGAACATGCAAGCGGCCGTCGTTATTGTCGTATTTGTCGGACTAAGATGCTCTTAAATCTGGGAGTAATCTGGGTCCTAAACTCCGTATCTTCAGGTCAAACAACACTGCAGCATCACTGAGAGTTAAAAACTGTCTAAATTCTTTCATCTTTAATAAAACGATCAGCATTGCTGCTTTACCAGGTGTAACTATGAAGTTTAACTTCCAGGCATCCATGAAAACAAAATTTATTACATTTAACGGAGTTAGAAGTTAGCAGGAAGCTAGCGGAAGTTAGCTCGCTAGTTTCGCTAGTTACCTAAGCATGATATTGCATGTTCTGACTGAGAGATTTCTGAAAAAAATCAAACGTACAGCTCTGCTATCACTTCCAACATAAATGAAGACAGGAAACTAAACAGCAGTGACGTTTGTAGGGTTACTGAAGTTGGGCTAGCTGGTATATAATGATGTGCTACGTGATCGCTAGCGACACAGCTATGTTAGCATAACATAAACAGTGAAGCTGGAGGACGAACACTAACACTTTTCCACTTATAAAAGTTAACGTGAAGGTTCCTCATGGTTAGAGACAAATGCAATCGCATGGCAGGATGCTGTAAACGGACCAAACTTCAGTCAGGAGAACAACTGAGATAATCCATCCACAATACGAGGTTAGTCATTAATATACTGCAACAACATGGGAATAGAGCAGCTGCCAGAGAATTCAACATTAATGAATCAATGGTACAGAAGTGGAGGAAGCAAGAAGAATGAGTTTAATAAAGTTTGATTTATCTGACTGCTTTGTTTCGCTTAATGTGCCTTATAATCCCGTGCACCTTATGGTCCGAAAAATACGTACTGCACACTGCAGTTTAATGTTGCAAAGCACCTCTTTTTAACTTCAGTGGATATTATACATGGTTATGCTCAGGATATGTCAGCCCATTTCTACTGGAAATGCCTTTTGGTTAAACTTTCAGCAAGGAATTTGCATTTGCACTGTTACATTTTTATAAAGCTTTAATGCACATAAAAACCAGCTGCTTGTTTAAGTGAAAATAAATGATGTTTTTTTTGCACTAATAAAGTTGTGAAGTTGTAAAGTTGTATTTTGTCTCGCATCAATTATATCGTCAGTTATATCATTATCGCAAATTTTCAAATATATATCGTGATAAATATTTTTGGCCATATCGCCCTGCTCTAGTTGCAGCTCTAGAGAGTCAACAGACTAATGATTTTTGTTTAAACTTGTTATATCTTTTGCCTTGCATGGCGACAGGTTTCTGCTTAGACTGCCGTCCCTGATATCCAGGTCCTGTTACCAGCAGGACAAGAGGGATAGTTGGATGCTATTTATTTCCTGATCTTTTTGCTCTAGAGAATCAATCTTGACCAAAAAAATTTAAAAATCAAGTCATGACTTTATCCTTTAAGGTTTAGCCAGTGCAAAATCAATGTAATCCAAGAGACAATGTTAGTGAATCCCATTTATATACTGTTGCATCACCAAATAATGACATAAGGTTTTAGTTGCTTATTTTAGATTTAGTCTATGCTAAGTTCATGCAACACAACAACTAAACACTGGCCAGAAAGATCACAGTCAACAGCAACAAAGTACATTTAAAGCTGGAAGACCTTCCACTGCTATATGGCCTCAAATAACTCACATAAATATCTTTGCAAAAAAACCCAAAAAAACCCAACAACAATAACAACAACAAAAAAACGGATGTATTTATTATTCTTAAAGGCAACTTTATTGAACAGTGGATATACTTAAAAAAAAGCCAGGTTTATATATGAAATATTGTAATATAAATCTGCGAGTAAACGCTGTATTCACAAGCCCTTATCTATTCCATTTCATTTGAATAATGTTTCTGCTATAACTTGAGCAGGCACAACGTGTCAGTGGTTTTGAATGAGAGCCTGACGTGACAAGAGGAGCACTCTTTGTTTGGCTAATTCAGTAGGCAAGTGCAACCTGCACGGTGTGCTATGCTGCTGTGTTGACAAAACTCACACTGACAGCATGGAACAGGACTGGGCCTGCAAACAGCACGCAGTGAAGTAGATAATTACCTTCTAAGTAAAGTACCTTTTAAGATGGCATAAAAAGAAAGCTGGGGTTTATTAAGCTAATATTATAATTTCTGCAGGGTATGTCCCGTGACTTACATATTGGTTAGCATCTTGGGCCTTTTGAAAAACTAATAAGAAAGTTTGGTTTATCGTTATTTCTTTTTAATGAGAAACTTATTACATACTAGTTAAAAAATTATACGCGGCTATGTGTCGCTCGTTTGTAAACATTTCCCCCCTGAGCGTCATATTAGTAGCAACATTGAATGGGCAGTTAGCGAGCTAACAATAGCTATTTGATAAACAAGAACTGATAACTCAAACTGTTCAAGACAATAGGCAGTATACTGACGGTGAACTCCCAAACAAAATTATATATAAGCACTCTTAAAACTTAACTCTACTTAGCTCTGGGTGGCTGCAGCTAACTAAAATATGAGCGCCCCTTTGTGCTAGCGGGACGCGGGCCTTCGTAGAAATCAATAGAGGAGCGGGCAGCTAGCTTACCTTCTTGTAGTGCTTTCCGATCCAGAGTCGCACCGTCTCCAGCTGGGATATCGTGTCTGAACTTTCCCAAAATTTCGCAGACGGACCACCGTCTTTCTTTCGTCCCACTGCGGTTAAACCACCGACGGGGCCAGTGGTCGGTCCACCCGAGCCCGTTCCGCCTGCCGTTGTCGCCGCCGTCGCCATTGTGTGTTTTGTTCGCTGCGTTGTCTTTCTCCTCCACGGCGTCCCTCAGCGTGCAAGTTTTCGAATGACATTGCGCAGCCGCAAACGTGTTGAGTAATTTGAAGTCTCGCGAGCCTGAATATCAGATGGTCCATGGGAAATGTAGGCACCTGAGAAGGTTCCTCCTTTTTTTTTTTGAAGTTAGTTTATGTTAAAAGTAAGATGGCGTATTGGGGCCATGGTATGTAAAATAAAAAAAAAATTAAAAATGGGATCGGGTTGATATAATAACTTAACAATAGCCATTACAAGTAATTTGAGTACAAAACTATCAATTTCCAAAATTCAAGTCAAAAATGTCAAAAAACTTAAATTAAAATATTAAATTTTTAAAGAAAAATCTTGCACTCTTTATGGTTATAAATTCACAAAACTAAGAGGGGAAAAAAGTTTGTTTTTTTTAATCTAAGATTAATGTCTAAAATGTATTCATTCATTTGATTATCATCATTATTATTATATTACTCTTGTCTGTTGTTCTCATGTGGTTTGATACTTTTTCCTGCAACATACAGATTTGAATCTTCGTATGAACTTTTATAATCCAGTGAATGTGTTTTTGCCAACAAGATCCAAGTAGCCACATTATAGTAACAAAACACAATTTAAATTTTTTTGGTGTTGCTTACAGATTTTTTTTTTCTGCTTTAACTACTCAAACATAATATGAGACTTATATGAGAGTTCAGTCTTACTTTTTTGGAGGGGGGGGGGGTTATATGTACTAAATTAGCACTTTTACTTTTCAAAGCTATTGTATGGTGCAATATAAATTAACTATTGTCATGTAATTTGATAGACAAAGTTGACTATTTGTGAGCAGCAGTCAGGATGGCGCCATCTTGTGGTGACACTTTTTTTTGCCTACCAGCTTTGGCCAGATTTAACCTCAAGAGAGATTATTTTTTGTCAGGTAATACAAGACTCTTTTCAGCTTAGTTTGTGCCTGTGTCTGTACAGAGCCAGGAGGTGGAGCAAGTTTACATGACTACACCGTGATGTAAATAAAACCTCAATAACATGTAGATTTCAGTATCTATCTATGTCTGTTCAAGAATAAGAGAATAAAGCTGTCTTCACATAGGTTTACTTCTTGTAAATAAAGTACATTAACATATAATCTAAAAGTTAAGAAAGTGTTTCCAAAAAGTGGTGAAATGATTTTTTTTTTTTTTTTTTTTTATTGATTTACTTTATTTGTTTTTGGTTGAACACTACACTCTACACTACATTCTACTTTTCTCTAATTCTCTAATCTCTAGTCTAATTAAATCCACTAGTTAAAAAAAGTAGCTTGTTAAAACCCTTCACAAGTTTAATCGAGCACAAGAGATAAAAAATGTGTCACGTGCCCAGTAAAAGGGGTGTACTGTTTAAATCCCAGCTGAGCTGATAACGGCACTTTATGATACCAGTACTGGGAATTTCAAACCCCAGCTGATAAATATCTGGTAGATTAGTGAGCAAAATCCTTTATATTCAACAGAAAAACCCGTACACGAATCACAGGGAGTGGAACAGGAGCTCCTTTTTTGCTCCAAGCACATTAGCACAGCCCTATAAATGAGAATAAATTACAATAGTGTGGCATATTCAGCATAACGTTTCAGATTTTGCTTATATTTGTTGAAAGCTGAATAAACCAGAAGCGAGTCAGTTCATTACTAAGGTTGGGGTCGGATTTACTTTAGGATTTAACCCACTTGAGATTGACTTGAGTATATGAAACCCATTTAACTTTTTTGAGAAATGTTTTTCCTCTTGTTTTTATTATTCTTGCCAGTTTTTCTATTTTTCACTTTTTCTTTTTAAGTTTTAATACGCATGGTACCATAAACCTTAGAGCTAGCCTGCATTTACCAATGCTTTTTTACAAAAACATCAGAAGCTCCCAATACCCTATTTTGTTTGGTAACTGAAATGAGCCTTATCTCTACAAGTAAAAGGACAAAGTCCTCGGTGGGTTATTGATAAACAAAGCTCATGTGCCCTGGTTGGATGTGAATATAAGTAACAATCCTTAACAGCAGCTCCTCATCTGATTATAAGGTATGTAGTTTTCATTTAAAGACGTAAAATATTCTCTAAGGGGGTTAAGAGGGCCACTGTTTGTTTTTACTTCACATAAATGTGTTTTATTTTTGTTTAAATTTAGTTTAGAGTTTAAAAAATATGCAAGTTGGGGTGAATTCAAGCACATTTCCCGAATGTATTTCTCAGTGTGAACAGTAGCAACAATGAAACACATTCCATCACTGGTTTTGCTCCTTCTCCTGGGAATATCCTCAGCATGCACCTATCGTAAGTATGATCTGGGTATATATGGACTCTTTTTTTTAAGGAAAAGTAGATATATGTAAAAGATAGTGATGTGAAAATGACAATGATAAACTCATTGCCTCTTATTATTAATAAGAGGCAATGAGTTTATCATCAGGTAGAGATAGAGAGTGAAGAAGTATAACAGAAACTTAACAGAGTGTAATGTGATACGTTATTTGCAGTTGCTGCAGTTTTTGTTTAGAGCTGGATGCATTATGTAAGTAATGCATCCAGCAACATCAGCGTCTTACATAACATGTAAGACAATAATACTTCCAAAAAACACATGAAGGAGTCAGTTTTTTAGTTTCTACAGTAAGAACTTTCTTTTGGCTCACCAAGTTCAGCATCCTATGTAATCATTTTGAATCATGGGTAGACTTTGCTGACTAAGCAAACTAACCAGCAGTTGTGTTTGCTGATAATTGTGCATCTCTACCAAATATGCCTATCCAAATATGTTCATATACTACAGTCACTATATTATTGTAAACAGAGTTATCAAGCTAACTACGTGAGGAAGTAACTAAATGAGGTACATTTGGATGGGTGCTCATTTTCAGCTGCTTGCTTGGATGCATGTCCTTTCATGATATCTTTCATTTGCATTATGCTATTGCCAGAAAATGTGGCCCTGCGTGGCAAAGCAACCCAGTCAACCTGTATGAGTACGGTATTGTCGGCTGCCTACGCTGCAATTGATGGAAACCGTGATTCTGACCTTCGCCATGGATCATGCTCGCACACCGATCAACAGACCGACCCCTGGTGGAGAGTGGACTTGCTTGAGTCCTACATTGTCACTTCCCTCACCATCACCAACAGAGGAGACTGCTGTCATGAAGAGCTCAACGGGCTGGAGATCCACATAGGCAACTCTTTGAATAATGATGGCTTAAATAACCCAAAGTTAGTAAATATAGAGCAATAAGGAATTACCAACAACACTGTGATTCTTTGTCTTTTGTTCTGGTTATCCTGTTTTGGCATTTTACTCATTTTTACCTTTGCAGTGTTTGTTTATTGCTGTTTTCCTGAACGGCAACAGGAGAGGTTGCTGTAGGACTGACATTGTTAGATGCCCACATTCTTTTTATTGGCACTCCCTACAATAGATTCCTATATTAAATCATTCCATTATATATTGAAATAGAGAATATTAAGTTACAGTTTTTGTCAATTTTGTCAGCACAACACAAGAAGAATAAAGTGAAAGAAGTGCCAATGACTCTGTGAGTATTGTGCTATAGTTATGGAGTGCTTACAGTTTAAAAAAAAAAAAAAAAGAAATACCAGTATGAAAACTGAGAGTACAGCAGGCACCTGTCTTAAAGGCCTATTCACTCACTCCAATCTCCTCTCTGTGCCATGTCTGTGGCTCTGGAGCTACCAGCAAATTTCACTAATTGAAAATGATCACGCTGACTATCATATGTTCTGATATTTGCTGCCATGGTAAATTGTATTTTCTCACACATTTCTTGTTAGGGTTGGAAAAATTTCTGAAGTTGGTGCAGGCAAATCCTACACTGTGAATTTCGCTGGTCGTGTGGAGGGGCGTTATGTAACTTTGACTCTTCCTGGTTCAGAAAGGATCCTCGCACTCTGTGAAGTGGAAGTCTACGGATATCACGCTCCAACTGGTGAGAATTTGAACTACTACATGAGTAAATGTGCACGGTATGCAGCTATATTGCCAAACTCCGGTATCCAGAGTTTCAAGCTGATATTAAAGCAGTTTAACAATAGATATATGAAGTGCAATAAAGTTTAAACAATTTCAAATAGAAACGTGAAAAAAAAAAAAACACCCAGTACTTTATTTCCTAAAAAAAGCTGCAAAGCCAGCACGTCATTAGTGTTCATCACTGTAACCATGACGACAAAGAGTTTGCTTCATGAATTTTCTTTTATTTAAAATAAATTAAAAGAAATGTTTTTTCTTTTATTTAAGTAACTGCTGATATTTATTTAGACTGCTTGCTTCCTATTGATTTCTCTGAACTAACTTCAGTAACGCCTTTATCCACACTATCAATATATCTACTAGTCCACATTCCTACAAAGAACTCTCATCATTAATCAGTGCTTTGATTTTAAATATGATCAGTTAATCTGTATTAAGAGGCTAAAGGCTTTTAAGGTGGAAGTAATTAAATCATTAATTCAGAAGCCTTTACTTATTCCAGCTTTCTTGTCCAGCCTAAAAAGGAAAAAGAAAAGGTTCATAATTCAGCAAAGCATAGAAAGGACTAGCAAAGGTTACTAATAATCTCTTTATTGTCTCTGGGATTGGGTTCATCTCTGTACTTGTGTATTGCTAGACGTCACTGCAGCATTTGATAAGTCTGAATAAAACATTTTACAAAAGTAACTTCATATTTCCTAGAATACAATATGTGTACAATATGTGAATACAATGTGTTGAAATTTTAAACAGGAAGAAAAGGAGAAGTCTATTGATTACTAGGTAGTGGGAAGGGGGGAGAGATTAAATAAGTTTAGGCTTTCCTACTTCTTTTTGAACATGAAAATTTTTTGTAGTTGTAGTTGGTTTGTTTTCCTTTTGTAATGCTTTGTTTGTCTCTTTTTATTTCTCTGTTGTTACACTTTTTTTTAAACATGTTCATAATAAAGATTCAATTCAATAGTTATCCTAAACTGTTCATATAAACAAGTAAACAGTTTTTCGCTCAC